CTAGCTATTGCACAAGAGACAACCAATAAATCTCCACTAACCTTATATGTTAAAATTTTAAATTCTCAAAAGCTGTATCATAAATATGACATTTATCATGACAAAAGATTCACAATTTGTATTAAACACAATTTGAATCACAAAGCACTGTATTTTATTCTATATTAAGCCATAGATGTATAGATTGAACAAAAAAAAATGTTATCTTATCAACACAAAAAACTAGTATTTTATTCTATATTAAGCATATTGCTAAACTAAAAGGGAAACGAAAGCACCAGCAACGATGGTTACCCAAACACAATCGATCCTTGAGAATGAATATATGCCTTAACTCCTCCCACTTGTACAAGTCCTTCCTCTTTTCCACACTCATTCTTAATTCAAGCTCGATTTCTATATTCAATTATTCTTTCATTCACACCTTTTTATGGTTTTAATTCATAGTTTAAGAACTATCAAGTGAAATATGTTTATATATTTATATTCATTAAACAGAAGCACTCTTAAAAACAAAGGCTGTTAATTCAAAATAATGATAATTTAGTTCTAACTTCTCTTCTATTTCCAGCTCTGATTTTTTTTAACTTGATCATGCACAGTAAAAAAATCAATTAAGAAAAAAGAATTGAAATAAAATAAAATAAAATTATAACTTAATATATTTTTTCTAAATACTGATTGAAAAATAAAAGCAGAAAAAAATATAAAAGGAGAAAAATAGAAACAAAACAAGCAAAAATGATGTAAAATATAAAGGATCCACTCCAGTCTCGATAAGAAAAAATTAAGCATAACGCATAATAATCTACAGAAATTAAACACAAAAAAGTAAACATAATATTTTAGAAATATACCTTATGAAATCGATCGGGTAAGAAATCACAATAATCGAAGTTGATGAAATGAGGAGGAAGGACTGAGCCACTTAGGAGATGAATTTGGAGAGAGCAGAATCAATAAGACTATAGGAGGTCTTTTGATTGGGAGAGAGAGCGTTTCAAGAGGATGGAAGAATGGGAAAAAGAGACTATTGTGCCGAGTTAGAGGATAGAGGGTATTTTAAAATCCTGTATTTGTTGAAAGTTTTGGTTAACTCGTGAAAATGTTACATTTTTAATGTTTTTTTTTAGTTGACCTGTTTTTGACCGGGTTTGACCAATTTTACTGGTTTTCAAGTTTTAACCCCGATTTTACATGTTTTATGTGTTTTAACTCGTAAAATTGGATGATTTTACGAGTTAAAACATATTTTTAACAGCCACGCATGTAACCACACAATTTCAGAATAAGTTGCAGACATGGTTTTATTCTCAGCCCCTGTAGAAGATTTAGAGACACAATCCTCCTTCTTAAACTTCCAAGAAATCAAGGCATCTCCAAGAAAAATGCACCAGCTTGTGATAGACTTCTTAGTATTGGGATAGTCAGTCCAATCTACATCACTATATAAAGTCAAATTAAGAGTGAATTGTGTAGAGAAAAACAACCCACAAGTAGTTAACCCAATTAAGTATCTAATAATATGATGAACTACAACAAGATGAAGATGTCGAGGTGCCTGTATAAATTTGCTAACTATATGGACAATATAAGAGATATCAGGCCTTGTAATTATAAGGTAGATAAGACTATTAACAATTTACCTATATAAAAAAGGATAAGGCAAAAACTCACCTTTATCTTTTTTGGTATTTCAGATTCACCTCTATTGGCGTATCAACATCAATAGCAACCTTTAAACTAGCAAGCTCAATGAGATCCCAGATATATTTACGTTGATTTAAGAATAAACCATGATCTCTGAAATGAACTTTTAACCCAAAAAAATATATGAGATCTCCAAGATTTTTCATTTGAAATGTACTATGCAACATATGTTGAAGCTTAGTGATTAGCCCATTGTCATTACAGTAATGATAATATCATTGACATAGACTAAGAGAAATACCATACCAGTGGTGGTCTTATAAAAGAAAGCGATGAATCATATTGACTTTGTGTGAAGGAGAAGGTGAGAAGAGTGTTACGAGACTTCTCAAACTAGGCTCTAGGTGCCTGTTTCAACCCATACAAAAAGCTTCTTAACTTGCAAACTTCATCAGAAGCCAATATGGGCATACCAGTTGGAAGTTTTATGTAAATCTCTTTCTTAAGATCCCCATACAAAAAGGTATTTTATACATCTATCTGATGTAAATGCCAAGTTTTAGAGGCTGCAATAGCAAGAATTGTTTTCACCATGATTATTTTAGCAATTGGTACGAATGTTTCTTCATAGTCGAAGTCATATTCTTATTTATTGCCAAGAGCAACTAATCAAGCTTTGTATCTGTCTAAAGAGCCATCAGACTTGAGCTTCACAGTAGAGAACATGTGAAGGATAAGAAATAATATCCCAAGTATGATTTACCTCAAGTGCTTGAAGTTCTGCCTCCATTGCTTGTTTCTAGCACTCATATTCTTTAGCCTGTTTATAATAAGTAGGAATGGAAATAGAAGACAAAGTAGTAGACACACCCATAGGAATTAAAAAACCATACCTTTCAAGATGTTTTTGAGGTTTAGAGCTTTTACGAAGAGGAGGTGGATAGTAGGAAAAGAGTAGAACGGGATCAGATGTCGTAGAAAGATATGAAGAAACCTCAGTGAGACATGTAGAAGGATCAAAAGTAGAAAGAGTGCGTCTATGATAAACATAACCAGGTTTAAACCTTTGAACTAATGTTGGTGACTCGGGAAAATATTGTAAAACAAATAGAGGAGGAAGTGTTGAAGTCTATTGTGTGTAAAAGAAGGGTTGATTTTCAAAAAATATAACATTTCTAGAGATAATAGTTCGACATGCATATGGATCATACCAAAGAAATCCTTTTTAGGTTCTAGCACATCCTAAGAAGGCACACTTGACAGATTGGGTAGTAAGTTTATTTCTCTCATGTGTAGGAAGGTGAACAAAACAAGCACATCCAAAAATATAAAGATTGAAATAATTTGGTGCATGTCGATAAACAAACAAAAGTAGGGAGAATCATTGTTCAAGTTAGGAGGTGGTAATCGATTAATCAAATAAACAACAGTAGATAAAGCTTCGCACTAAAATGAGAACACATGACTCAATTAGAAGAGTTCATACAACATCAAGAAGATAATGATTCTTTCTTGTAGCCACACCATTTTGATGTAGGGTGAAAGGATAAGAACATTGTGATATGATCCCATAATTATTTTCCTTTGACAAAGATCTAAAATTGAAAAGCCTAGGTAGAATAGTTCTTTCCATTAAATCAAACAAGAAAATATTTAAATCATTTTAGAAACATGATTTAACCAAAAACAAGAACTAGAAATAAGAACTAAGAAATCAGGTCCAAGAAAAACCGAATAAAAGAACTAGACAAGAAACCAAACACAAAATGAATTGATTTTAGAGTTTTAACTCTGATACCATGATAAGATAATACAAGAGAGCTTCTAAAATGTTTTTTGTATTTCTTTCACTAAGAAAGTTACAATATATATATATATATATATATATATATATATATAGAATAATCAAATTTCTTAATTCTAGTGTCTAATAAACATAATTAAATCTTCTAATCCTATAATAAAAGGATATACAGTTATGAAAGATAAATAAAAAATATATATAATATACAGCTATGAAAAAATACTAGAGAAGAAAAGAAAAATATATTGACATATTCAACGAGCCTACTTTCCACATTCAATTCTGCATGACTAGGAGTATGGCACATGCAGGGTTGATGGTAGAAATTTGAATAGTAATCCTGCAGTTAAATTGCGAAGACATTTGGGGATGGCCCCTGACATATTATTAAGCGCAAGGTCCAAAATGTGTACACTGGAGAGGTCACACGGAGTTTCAGGAACATTTCCAACCAACATATATATATAAAGGGTTTTTAGCGAACAGATTTGGTATGGCCCCAAAGAATTTATTTCCTCCGAGATCAAGTGCAAACAAGCCTGTGCAATTCTGTAAGGTTGAGGAAAGCTCACCATAAAGATTGTTATTTCTCAACTCTAGCTAGATTAGAGACGATGATAGCCACATGGAGGTAGGAATCCTGCCAGATAGATTGTTACAGGATAGATTTGGAGGTCCTGATTCTATTTAAGCAGGAAACAAGTGGGACTTCGTACTCATTCTTTTCGGTCAAGTGCATTTGAATCTATCAACCACACATTTTCTTTGTTCTTCTTATTGTATATTCAATTATCTACAATCTACTTGTAATCTTTGATTAATCACAGCAATCTAGCAGGCATCTTTGATATGCTAAACCTAAAGAATGGCTTTTGAAAAGAACAAATGCATCTAGAAAAAGAAAAAAGAAAATCAAAAGGTCAGGGAAAAAAGAAAATAATTCATTTCAATAGCTATAGAGAAGATAAAAATAGGTTGTCTGATCTTTGGTTTCAGCAAACGAGAAAACTAGAGTGAATATAAAAAATGACAACTGAACTTTCAGTGAACATCATCAAGGAATTAGGTGACATAGGTTTTATGATAATGTCTTTTTAAATCTGTCTAGTCTAGACTACATGGAACCAAAGTGATCCTTCCCTACCCTAGTCCTCTGAATTTGCTACCATTTTTGCAGATTCTCATTTGCTTGGTGGTTTGGACTCTATGAAAGCAAAGGGAATCTTCCTACCCTATTCCTCCGAATTTGCTATAATTTCTGCAGATTCTCATTTTCTTGATGGTTTGGACAAACACCATGTTGAGTTCATGGTACAGAATTAATAACATTTTTATACAGACAGTACTATTCGACTAGCTACCGAGCCAATTTAATTTCTTGGCAAAGGTATGACGACTGAAAGATGGATTGATCTACCGTGGTGGTCCTGGAATTGACCGAGGCCTTAAAGAATGGATTGATATGGAGCCAGAGCTCAGATTATTATCAAATAGAAAAACGGAGTTAGAGTTATTGGACTTGTTAGAGTTATTGGACTTGCATTGTGAGTAGGTAATGAAGTTGACATCAGGATATATGCTCTTCAATGATCAAGGAATGGCCACATAGATTTTTTCTTTCATTTCCTCTATGAACTGGAAATTCATAGGCATGTCTCCAAGACTTCTTCGTTAATTATGTCCCATAAACAACCCGAAACCCCACGGCATTTCACAATCATCTTCTTCCCTGACCTCATCATTCTTGATTTCTGTTGCTTCATTACTAGGCCTCGAACATTTGGTTGGTAATGGAGACCCGCAAAGTCATATATATATATATATATATAGATGGATCATTGAAGGTTTGGAATTGGTTGGTTGATGGAATTGGTCCTGATAAGTTATTGGAGGACTAATTCAGGTGATTCAAGAAAGTCATGGAAGACATGCTTGGAGGAATAAGGCCTGAAAGATGATTGTTTGAGAGATCAACAGTTTCTGACAGATGTAGGCTTCCAATCTTGTCAGGAATCTTTCCAGTCAATTGATCCCGAGATAAATTCGAAGTACCCAAGCATGTGAGCTTAGTGGGATGTCTCCCTTTAAATTATTTCATGTCTTTGCAGTAAGGATTTCATGTTCCTGTTGTGTGTGGACGGATAATAAGAAAGAAATGTCAAATAATGAGCGAGCATTATCTATATCAGTTCATTAGATGCTAGGAGCTCTCTATCTTCTACTCCTATCTAGTTAAAGTGATGTTTTTCAGCTTTCACAATTCATCTAACTGTTTTTTTTTTTTTATGTATGATTTACTTGTCATCATTTTTCGTGTCTGACAAAGTCATACAGTTGGCCATTTTCCTTGCAGCTATAATAATTTTATTTCATATTGGCCAGCTGAGCTGTATACGGCTGTTCCAGGCTGACCATTCTTTCCTAGGGGATTTTCATGGAATGAAGGTTTTCATCAACTGTCGATCTGGTCAGGTCTAATTTCCAGTTACATTATGGAGTTACTATATGTGCTGTTGTCAGGCTAACCAAACATGTTTTTGCAGGCATGAGCAGGCGTTGGGATATCCGAATATGTGTGGATATTTTTGGCCACTGGTTAGATTTAATGAACATTGATGGACGGATTCCACGTGAGCAAATTTTGGGTTCTGAAGCTCTAAGGTATTGTGAATGTATTGTTCATGTTTTTTAATTGAATTTTAACCTTAGAGCTTGGCTGGCTTCTTGAAAAAAATCTTAAAATTATTTGCCAGATTCATCCTTGAAGAAATTCTGCAGTGTCTTTTCTGCTGTAATTGCAACAAGGTTCCAGAGGAATTTGTTGTTCAGCGCCGAACCAATGGAAATCCCCCCACCCTATTTTTGTGGTAAGGCTTCCTGAGATTTCATTTTGATGTTCATACCACTTTATGGTACAAAATTTGCATGCTTCTTTATTGTGTGATAGAATGACTTCAGCTCTGCAAGTCATAAGTAGATGTGTAATTCGAAGAGACCAACACCCATCCTTCTAAATGTCAAGAAAATTCGTCTGATTTAATGGGAAGTCATCATCCCTTAAGGTACAAATCCTGCAACAATGAAGAAACTTGTCTCGTATACTAAATTCTGGGGTTGTTCAGACAAGTTATTTTTATCATCTTATAATATATGATGTGCGCTTTCTTTCAGATTTTTGCCAAAGCTTAAATTATTTGGCAAGTGTTCTCTTGTGATCAATTTGTAAGAAGATGATTGCAAATGTGGGATGAAATTTTGCCATTTCTAGATCTATTTGATGGGATGGCGAAAAGCAAGTTCACCGCCGCTGAAAGCAATAAGATCACTCACATCCTAGAATGAACGGGCTTTTTGTTCGCTTGGAAGCTTGGTTCCAGTGGTTCAACACTACGCAGAAAGGTAATTTCATCATCTTAAAGCCATTAATTTATGTCAGCGTTCCAAATAGGTTTAAGCAGCTGGGGTTCGTACAAGTGTAATTGTAAGAAAAACTAGCTGTCAAATCACGAGAGATTTAGCATACATCTACAAACGGTTGGCTCCAGGGTTTGTTCTCTGCTTTATCCGCTACCCAGGCAACTACATCAATTACAAGCTTCATTAAAATTGCTGCTCAGTTTAGCTGTTGATATAAAGGAAAAGATAAATATAAGCCCATGACTTTCCAAATATTGAAACTTTCTTTCAAGGTGCTGACACGCTGAGATGTGTATAAACACGTACTTTTAAATGCAAGGTGCTTGCTTTGAGTGATTTGTCTATGTGGATGCAGGGAGAGAGATGACCAGCTACTGTTGGCACGGGAGACATGATAAAGCAACTCCTGACCTTGCAATCCTTCACAAAAGCATCAATCACATTACACTAAACAAGCACATGGTTGAACTACAAACTATTCTTAACAATCCACGAGATAAAGAGCCCTATTAGGGAAACTCCTTCAGGCCCTAGCTCCCATGGGAGTGAGCTTTACCGTCTGTTGATCAATTGAATCCCCCTCGACGATTGAGTGGCAGCTGACATGATTCATTTGGTGATGACACCATCACTCCCGATGCTGATTTCACAAACAGCCCCCCTAGCAAATTTAAGCCATCAAGGATTGATGAGGAGGGGATAGCGAAGATGTAGGGGGAGAATTTGAGTATGGTTTATGACAACTCTTGTCAGAGTTGAATTAATCACAGATCACTCGCTAACTGAACCAGTGACAAAATTGCAGCTTGTCAAGGAATTAATCAGCAAGTGCTCCTTGTATCTCTAGCTCAATTATTCTGCATTTCTGTGCCCTCGGCCATCATAATTTCCATGTCCCTGTTGTCTCGCTTCAACACGTTGCCAAGCCTTGCAATAGCTTCAGTCTGCTGTTGTAAAACCTGCCCACAAAACCAGTCACTTGTTATCTATTACATGTAAAAATACTATGAGGATCAAACCAAGAGCATTATAACTGTAATTGCAAACTTTACATCGAAATAGAAAAATAATACTCTTCTCTGCATCAAAAAACAGTATCACTGCAGATCCATTCCTTCTTTGTTTTTATTGTGATTAACAATCAGTACAATTTGAAGGCTGGTAATTAATATTTTCCCTCCAGCTAAGGGTTGGTCTGGCAATGAGGTTGAAGCGTAAAATGCTTTTAGGTGTGCAACCTAAAATAAACAGGCACTAAATGTTACTTTATCATGTTGTTCACGCATCACTGGGTAAAGAGAAAGAAACAACGAGCTTAGCAAGAAGGATCATAACTAATAAAGTAACATCTATATCCCCACATGAATTCTCACTTGTCCCCCTCTTACCTCCTGCATATCGGCAAGACTTTGTTCATGTATTTTGGTTGATCCTGGAATATAAAGAGAACCTCCAGCACCAATTCCATTTTCTTGAACACGAGATACAGTGAGTAGGTTTTGAACCCTCCTAGAAAGTTCTGCACCAGATCCTTTTAGCTGAAATGGCATCTACTCGTTAATATCATCCCCTGATGCAGGTTAAGTGATAATGAATAGTGTACAGATGAGAGAGAGGACAGGAAAGACATACCTGTCTAATTATTGCAGCTGACTTCTCAGCCAACTCAGCTTCCGCTTTTGTTAAGGGCAATCGGAAACCCTTACCCTCCAATGCCTCCATTATTCTCATCACCTTAAAGCATATGATAGGAGAAAGTAGATGTTAGAACAAGTTATCGAGAACTGAATGCATAAATTTCCTATACAGTAATGCTCTGGAGCAGAAACAGGCATTATGAACTCACAGTTGGATTAAAATATTACTTTGGACCTTGTCTTTTCAATTTGAACAATTTTGAATTAAATATAACTTAGTCCCTGTAGTTTATTGGAACTAATTCCCTTCAGTATAAAAAATAACCAAAGTTGAACATCGTCTATTTAATAGTTTTTTGTTCCAACAATACACTCTTTTCCAATCAAATTTTCTAATCTCATCTATATTCTTTTTTCTATTTTTCAAAAAAAGGAAAAAAAATGAAATTTTACGGGAAAAAGAAGAAGGTTGAATTGACTGAGGACTAAGTTATTTATGGATTTAAAAACATAAGGATCAAACAATACTTTTTGAAACCTCAAGGACCAATTATTTAATTTCATTAAACTACATGGACTAAGTTACAATTCACTTGACATTTTAAATCTTGTAGCAACTATCAATGCAATGTTAATCGTCTACCAATTCACATAAAACTTGTGGACATAACAGTGGCATGGAGTTGTGCATCCAAATCAATAGGATTTCTTAAGAAGATTATGGATAAAAGGGCAGTTCAAGGAAACAAATAGTGTCTAAAGCAAAAAATAAAAAAAGTTCACCAAACAGCCTGCTCCAATGAATCTAGGGAAAGAAAAAAACCTTAACCTTTCCTAAATTTGTCTTGTCTAGTGCATACTCACTTTGATATACAGGTGTCATGCAACTATTTTATGCACAGAACTCAGGGTTGAAATGAAAATAGTGAAAATATACCAAAATGCATTCTCTCATTGAATGTAAAAGCTAAAATGGAATTTCAAATTCTGAAAGCTTATCTCACTACTGTGCACCGTCTATGTTGTTGACTATTCAGAAAATGACAACAATACAAACCACATGGAAAAAATAAATTTAATTTTGTGATTCAGAAAGTGGAGAGAGAGCACTTGTTCTCACCCTTAAAAGATGCCTCTGAAGACTTCGCTCTTTCCGTCTCATTCTTTCAATCCTTGGAAGAGCCACAGCTTGAAAATGCCTTTGAAGCTGAAAAGAATACTAGCATGTCAAAACAGTATCCAGAAAATATGGCGTGTCAAGTGGAAAGCAGGCAGACAGTACCATTTTTATGTTGATTTGGGTCATTTGCAATCTCTCTGCATCTGAAACAATTACTTCATCTTGGAGCTGCATCAAATTAGCAAAAAGCATTACAATGTCAGAAAATTCAGTTAGCACAGTCCATTAGCAGAAAAATCTGATTGCAAGGAAAAGTGCACAAAGCACAAAACCTTCCAAGATAAAACCTTAAATGTTTTCAGTTGCATTTGCCTTTTACAAGGAATTGCAATCTGCAGTGGAGAAATGTAGGCCACCTAATCCAGCATGAATTAGACTACACATTCTTGATATATAAATGCATGACCTCGCACTAACAGTCCTTAAAATGATGATCCATGAATTAGACTATTGGTAGGTAGAAACCAATCAAGAACCTTAAACCAACTTTTACATTATTTGAACTCAAAATCCTCTTCAAGTCACAAAGGACAAAGGAGCTCCATGAAATACATAGCATATTCTTAATAGGAAAATCTTGGTAGAGCATATCAAATTATAACTATCACTAACCACGTTAAGGAAGGCAAAAAAGTCTAAAAGACATGACCCTCTAACCTCTAACTTGCAAAACTCCTTCAATTTTGATACTTATAAATCTTAAAGAAGTGGATGGCCAGCTGCTAATCACTTACAAAACAAACTGCTAGATAGCCCATTCATAACACACATCAATGCCTCAAATCAGAACAACTACCTTGAGGCGGTGTGAAAGATCTTTGAAACCTTGAACAAGCTGAGGCCAGAGGCGTTCTCTATCTGGACCTTCCATACCCTCTAGCTTCGCCATAGACTCCGCCCACATGATCTAGCAAAAGCAGACTATTCACCAAAATTAGCCAAAAACAAACTCAAAGACAATACAAACAAAAACAGATAACAAAGTAGCGATAAAAATAAACTAAAAGTGAAGTGGTAGACTCACGTCTGATACACCAGCAAGCTTCCCTCTATGCTGCGGGTCAGTTACACTTAACAACAAATACTGTCAAACACAAATGACCGACACAACTGCCATGTCAGCTCCAAAACCCTAATTCATTAATCAAACCATTTTCAAACAGCAAGAAAAATCAAGAAAATTATCAACTCAAATTCAAGAAAACAAAACACCACAGAATTCTACACCTAAGAAACAATTTTTTTTCTTTTTATGCAGCCAAACACACACAGTCGTCAAAAAAAAATTAAAAAGGAAGAGAAAAAGAAAAGCGAGGCAATAAAATGAACCTTGAAAGCATACTTAAGGTTCCCAGGGTCCTCTTTATAAGCATCCACAATCGCCTGCAATCAAGACTCGGAGTTTTATCTACATATTAAATAAAAAATGACCTTGATTAGGGTTCAAGCCAAGAAAATGGGGGAAACAAACCTGAATGTCGCGATCGGCGAGAGAGAAAAGAAGAGGAGCAACGAATGCCATCTGAGTACTCAAATGAGGAGGAGGAGGGGGAGAAGGGAACGGTGTCGTTTGAAGCGGCGTAGCGAACGGATTCTGTTTCTGTTGCTGTTGAAATCCGAAACCAGTAGTAGACGGTTGCTGAAAAAGCGAGGTTTGCTGCTGCTGCTGAGTTTGAGAAGCAAGCGGAGTAGAGAATAAAGATGAACCGAATCCTCCAGCAGCGAAAGCTGGCGTTGAAGGAGTGCCGAATAAGGGAGTAGAAGAGGGGGTTCCGGATGGCGGGGTGGAAGACGGCGTGCCGAAGGCGGGGGTGGAAGATGGAGTGCCGAACATTGTTGCTGTGTCGTTGTTGTTGGAGTGAAGTAGTTTTTTATTGATTTTGTGAATTTTAAATAGATGGCGCCCTGTAATGGGAGTACTTGTAGCTCGATCATTGGATATCGAAATCTTTTTATTTAAAATTCATAATAATTTGTGATCAGTGTTTTATTGAAAAATCCAAGTTAAATATATTTTTGATTGATATATACGTGTAAATATATATAATTTATTTTTTTAATTTAATAGATAGTGAATAAAACATCGATATTAATATTATTATCTACTTTTAACTTCTGAACTGAAGCGTACAGGGCCTACAGGCTGCTTGGTTGCCCTTGGCAGTCAAGATTTGAACTGGGTGTGGACTGTGGAGGGCTAGCAGCTCTACAACCCTACATGTGTAATTAAAACGGAGAAACATGAGGCATATACAAGAGGACTATAAACGAACAGATCAATCCGTGTAAGAGCATCATTTCATGCCTTTATGGTAACGCTGCACAAGCAGCATCCAGAAGGCTTTATCTCAGAAGTACACCATTCGGAACCTGGAGAAGCATCAGGATCATACAGCAGAGTTCGATAGCCTGGCTCTTCCCGTAGAGAGAACAACAGAAGTTTCCCATCAAGGATTCCAAAACGGAAACCAATACTTGTGCTCCCTGTCAATGGAACAGCTACCGTTTTCCAAGAACTATCCTCTGGATTGAATATTGCTAGTTTCCGCTGGTTCTTCCACTCCATACAGAAGAGTTTCTTTCCCAGAACAGCATGGGCAGTAACCATCACACAACCATTCTTAATCTCACACCAGCTGTGCCTTTCTGGAGTATACACGTCCACAGACCTTGAATTGCCTATGCTGAAGGTTGACCTTCCTCCCATGACATAAAGCTTGCCCTCAAAGCCACAGGCAAAGCAACCCCATCTTGGGCGGCGAAGACTCTCTATCATGGTCCATGTGTTAGTGTCAGGATCATACATCTCAACACTGGAGAGACTATCTCCATCCATTCCATATCCCCCAGCAGCATAAACCTTGCCGTTAACCTCTGCACAGGCAAAATCATACCGGGCAACATTCATTCTTGACAATTTAGTCCAACTGTAATGACAAAGAAAGTGTTCTGATGAAGAATTCAACAATAGGAAGTTACTGCATTATAAAAATCAGGTATAGACAAAAACAAAACACTGCAAAAGAAGGTACCAGGCCATCTGGCCCACCAGGTAAATGCCAACCGCCCTGACCCTGACCACATTACGGGGTAAATCTCAGACTTAAGTCTGCAGAGGAGGCCCAAAAATGAAATTCTTTGCCTGTAGCAGTGTTTGGAATCAAATTTAATATATGCCAGGCCCTTAACCCTGACATGAATTATCAACTTCTTTGTTGCGTTCTAGCTCTACAGTTACTTTAATTAGAACAACCTGATAAGGAAGGCCAGTCAATCAGTGAAGTACCTCATTTGCAACCACATGCAAAGGGTTCTGTAAATTGTGCAAGTGTTTTGTTGGATTTGAAATGGCAGTTTCTTCAAATATCAATAAAATCACAAGGGTTCTGTAAATTGTGCAAGGGTTTTGTTGGATTTGAAAAGGCAGTTTCTTCAAATATCAATAAAATCACTGACCCTGTTGATACCTCTGTGTATGCGAGTGTGTGGAAAGTCCCGGTTCTCAAGATCACAGAAATGACTATAGACTTCAAATGAATTTCCTAGTGAGCAAAACATTTCATGAATCCACCTAATTTAAGATCTTAGAACTATGGAACAAAAAGGTTTTCCTACTAACTAGCAGTATATCCACTAGGCTGAGATATCAGTCTCAAGAGAAATCCAAATGGATTTGATAATAATTTTGAGTGAGAGAGAGAGACCCATGATTGACAGAAAACAAACCTGTTGAGGCAGCAATCATATTCATAAACATCTGCTGATGCAGTGCCGGTCCCATCAATCAATGAATGACCAGCCATAACAAGAAGCTTTCCGTTTAGAACAACAACCCCAAACCCAGCCTTTGTAGGACCAGGCATTGGTGGAAGAAGCTGGCGTTTGTGTCCCAAACGGTCCAAAACCACCCAGTGGCTTTCTTTTCTTTCAGAATCCATAGTTAAGACATATAGCCATTCCTCAAGCAAGCCAGCTAATTTTCGCACAGTGATGAACTCTTGGCTTCTAAGAAATGACCTCCATTTCTTGCAAACAGCACCTATAGCTGGGAGGTAGCGGCGAGGAACAAGTGCAAGGCAATACTTCGCCACATCATCGGGCAATCCAGGTACAATGAGACCATCAATATCATGAGCAACCCTTGAATCTACTACAGGGTTGCTCTTTGAATGCACTGGAGGATTATCTTGTGTGATCAAAGTGAAGAAAGACATGCTTGTGTCTAAGAATCCCTTCTTACTCGCAAAACCAGGCATTTTCTATAAATGAATCGAGATGGAGACGATTCTTGTAATTCATTATATCTCCGTAGAATCTTTCAGGACCTTGTAAACAATGAATACTTGATCAAAGAAATCCATGACGGCTATCACTTATAGGGATTTTAAGGGACCAAGCCATAAAAGAAGTTGCAGATCGAATCACTTGATCGGTAAATGCCAAGGGTTTCCTGTATTTTGTCCAGTTTGATTCCATACCAAAAGTTCTCTTGTAGTAGTTTCTCTCAGTTCTCTTATGTAGAGTATTTTGTATGCCTCTAAAATCTAAAATAGTCTCTTCTCTCACAAATTGCACAAATCCCTCCAGGTGAAGAGGAGAAAAACAATAATTAATACTAAAAACACAGCACTCATCCATGGAATCAAAATTTGAATGTGTGTATATCTTTTTATACGTACCAGTCAAGGCCATAAAACCTAGGAAGCCTGAGTCTGCTGTGACTTCCACTGTTGTTGAATTTGATCATTAATTACCTGGATCACATATAAACAACATTAGTTGATTCAAAAATTACCGAACATGAACTATTATAGTGAATAAAAGATTATAATAATCCGCGCCTGGAAGCAAGCTCATTAATGCAAACGCCACCACAGTTTGGGGGGGAACTTAAGTGGAGCAAGTTTACTCTCAAATTCGGTGCAGCAGTTAAATGCAAACATCATATTTCATCACCTATAATCGGAAAAGTAGAGAGCTGAAAAAGAAACAATTAACATAAATTCAAAGACCTTATCCGAATCCATGTATCTACTAGAAGCATAAATTTCATCTTTAACATTTAACAAACCAACCCACCAATTACTTGCTGACAAAACAGTTCAAGGTAAAACATCTATACCAGGAGGGGAAACAGCAATCAGAAGCAGCCCTGATTTCAACAAAATCACTGTAAAAAAGCCTTCAATCATCATGAAAGGAAAAAATAACAAAAAAGAAAACATTTAAATAAATATCCATCCTTGAATGCAGAAGCATAAATAATCACAGCTCAAAATCAGTAGCTAGAAGATGATGAAAAACAGAGCATGAATAGATAGACAGCAAAGAATAAAACAGGGAGACGAAAAAAGCAGGACATGCAGAGGGCAAACGGGGCAACAAAAACCACTTTATTACCTTAGCTTGATGATTTAGAGCAGCATGGGAGAAGCTAGCTAGCCAGTGTGAGATAGCACATGCAACGAGAATGGAGAAAGAAGATAGATAGGAAAAGATAAAGGAAACATGAAAGGATGGACAATCCAGGATCAAAAGAGGGAAATGCTCGCTAATCCAAGGCAAGAAAATTTGAACCAGATGTGCAGCAAGTGTACAAACAGGTGTTGGACTGGAAGAGGGGAGAATTTTTACCCGGCGAAGGAAGGAAAAGGGAATTGTATATCGTGGAGAGCAGACGAGAGCTGGTTGAACAGAAAGATTTGGTCTTCAGAAAGAAGCATAAAATGAGGCTTTTTATGTAGAGAGACGCCCGAATTGTCAGCTTTCAAGATAAAAACCGATAGGGCGCCACGACGTCAGGATCAGATCGCCATGCGGACTCACACTGACTACAGGCATAAATAAGAAAGGACTCGGAGCCGACTTGCTCTTATTACTGTATCACCGAGAGCGAGATTGATTTTTGTTTGGGTTTTTAAACTAAACTGTGTCCTGCGACCACGGGTTCTTGGATGACGCTAGATTTTATTACATCATTCGTTGCATATGTAATGTGTTCGGTAATTTAATGGGTTGTTTGTAAAAAATATTTATCAATTTAAAATATATTGAGGAAATGATTTTTATAAAAAAATTATTTTTAATATTTATATATTAAAATATCCAAAAATATCAAAAAATATATTAATTTAATATTTTCTAGAAAGCAGCAAATTTTCAAATAGACACTAAGTTTACGATGACGGGATATATCCAAAAATAGAAACTAGCTTTAATAAATATATTTAATAATTCAAAAGATTTAATAGTAAATATCCTTTTAAGATCAGTATCTAAATAGGTTTTTATCATATATAAATCAGGTTTTTGAAAATATTTATTCTCAATTAATACACACCTGAAAATACCTTAATTATCTATAAATAAATAAATAAATTATTTATAAGGACTTTGATGAATTCTTTATCGGTTATATTTGATTAGTCAAATAACTCCAAAACGTACATAAAAATATATTTATTTTATATCTTTTTCTAACCAAGATTTTGTCTGTCGTCGATCATGTCCTTGTTAAGCGAGTACAATCTGTGGTAAAGGTTAATTATTAATTCTAGCTAGTGTCAAAAGATTATAAAATAATTTAAAATATATATATATATATATAATAGAATCTGGGTAGAGCAATGTGGAAGATGCGTGTTGGTGGACCTGGGCAGGTGATGCCATGGTGCTGTAAACGTCATGGACCACGAGGAGGATTTGTGGTCTGGACGGTCGATTTCTGTGGGATCCATGGACTGTTGCAAGTGGTTGGAGCCAATGGAGGTTGGATTTATCGTGTGTTTTTTAAAGTTTTTATTTTTATTTTTAATGGTGGAGTATGCCACTACAAATAAAAAACATAGCTTTTGCATTTTATGTCGTGTAAAGTTGTACCCTACAGTAAACACTAGAGTAGAAGTTTAGATAAAGTAGACAGTAATATTATCAATAATAGGATAACAAATAAAATAAAAAAAATAATTAAAAATTAAGTTATTAATATAAATTGATATTTATAATAAAATAATAATAATTCAGAACTCTGAAATTCTGTATTTTTATTGTGATTTAGTGACTATTGTTACACATAACTCCACCATCATCATGTATTCCTTCTAGTGTCCTTCAAATTCTGGCACACGTGTCAAAAAGCTATCATATTGTGTAATTAAATATATTTCAAATCTCATATTTATGGATATAGTTTGGTGGAGTTTTGATGTATAACTGAATTCGACTTAACTTGTATTTTATAAATTGTAAGCTCAACTTATTAAAAAATAAAAAGAAACTGAGATAATTGGATATATTAAGTTAGAAAAAATTAATAACATTACATATATTTATGGATTGAGTTTATATTATTAATTTTCACACAATCAGATATATAACATATACCATAAATGTTGTGACACCCCAATGTTGGAATTTTAACACCATCCACCACCATTCAAATCTAATTACTTAGCTATTTCTGTGAATGCCAATTTAATTTAAACTTGTTAAATATCAATTTGAATAAATAAGTTTTTTATGAATAATTGTCTTATTTTATAGATAATGGAATGGATGAGATATGGGTACTGTCAAACCTAACCTATACCGTATCACTATTTATGTTTTATTGAATAATTAATAATATTCATAAAAATAATATCCATATAGACACTCAAATTTTGACGGATAGTATATGAATATTTGAATTTTTTATTTAATAAATAATAAAAAATACATATTTAATTTATAAACTATTAAATATAAAAATAAAATAAATATATTATGTATGAGTTTGGTTAGATTGATTGAGTTTTAAAGACCCTGATTTGACTCATTATATTTATTTATTGGTTTTTTTAACTCATTATTATCTATAATATTTATATTATTTAACTTAAAAGTTAAATAATATAAATATTATAAATATACTATTTAAAAAAACATTGAAATAATCAAACAATCATCTGCTAATATAATTTGGATATGTTATAGGCAACAACAACAGTGAAACTTAAGAAACTGGTTTGATGATCTAAAGGCTAAGCTAACTTTCATGATCTTGTGGATTTAAATTTTAGAATTAGTTGTTTTTTTAGCCACTCTTTCTGTATGGCTAGCTTTCATTAATAATATTTTTAATTATTATAAAGTAAAAAAAATTATTTATTTTAACACGTCTCAGTAAAAATATAAAAATATTGTTTATTTTATATGAAAAAATAAAAACCAAATAAATCAAATCACATAAATAGAATTACTTTTATCATTAATTAAAAAGATAATGCTTTCCACAAACCTAACTTCTTATTTTTTTGGATAAAGACAAGTTAATCCAGTTTATGGAGGTTTTTTTTATTGTTAATACAAGTGTTTAGATTAGTTTGTGTATATTTTAATTAATTATATAAATTTTAAAATTAATAATTATGTAAATTTTGGTGATTTTAAAATTTGTAAAATTTAAATTAATAATTTTTATTTTTTAAAAAATAAATTTAGGTTAAAATTACCATGATGGATTTTTTTTTTTATTTACGTGGAGTATCCTGGCCAGCTTGCGTGCACTACGACTAATCTTCACGGCTCACTGAATACCTTGCAAATCCAAGAGACAAGTAAGACACCACAGGGTGATAGACATGCATATCAAAGTTTAAATTCATGTATAGTAAAAGAAAACAAGTCACTTTCACCAGGTCAAGCTTCTCAGTGCACCGTGATGGATTTTAAGAAAGATCATGGTTGATAAGTACGAATGTCTGGGACAGAATACTGTGGAGTCGGGCAGAAGTTGACGGCTAGACTAGTGGCTGTCTCCCCCTCAAGATTGAATGTTGGTGGGACACAGATGGTGGATGGAGGAATGGGAAAGGCGGAAACACCGCTGAATATGGGCAGATTTTTATCTGCATTTTCAATAAATCAAAGATGCTTGCATCGAGAGGGTAAGTTTCGACTCCGAAAGCGTGATGGGTACGTGGCACGCACATCTATAAGCCCCATCACTCGACTAGATGGATCCAAGGACCAAATATCCACCTCCATACCTGCATTGACAGGTGTCCGATTATCAGCGAATCAATCACCTTATCTTCATTGGTCACAGCTACCCGCATCCTCCTGCACTAACAATCAATTCCAGCCACGTCAAGGCAACATACAGAACCTCTTCTGGGAAATTGTAAAAATAAGATCAGGAGAGACCTGATGGCTGAATTGATGAAATTCAGGTTACACTTTTTACATTTTCTTTCTTTTATTTTTGGCTATAATTTACTATTGTGTATTTGAGATTATAATTGTTTTTAAAAATATTTTTTATTTAAAATATATTTAAATAATATTTTTTATTTTTAAAAAATTATTTTTAATATTAATGCATCAAAATTATCTAAAAATATTAAAAAATATATTAATTTAACAAAAAATAGAAGAATTTCAAATCTTTTTAAAATACAAAAATAAATATCCCATAAATATTTCATCAACCTCTTTTTTTTCTTTGTGAGTTTCTATTTTTGTACGCGGTTGATGATGGAGAAATTGATTACAATATTATATGAACAATGCCACATACTCACTCTATGCAATGAATTACATGAAAAGATGCTAAATTATTTATTGCTATGGAATTTATCATCCAGAATTATTGAAAAAACCTAAATGAACACGTTTAGAAAAATCATAGGAAAATATTTAAACAATCTATTTAGCTATATATAACTTCAAACTTGGAAAAATATTCAGAAAAAAAAATCTGTATTTGAAACGTTCTTCAAAATCCAAAGTGGGAAAAAGTTTTTCATGTTTAGCAAATGAACACATTTTTTTTTGCAGGATTATTTGGAAACAAAAATTGATACAAAAGTTTATTTAAGAGTACATATGATATTAACCTAATAACAAATTAAATATATATTAAAAATAATTACAAAATAAAAAAATATATTTTAAAATAAAAAAAATACTCAACATCACAGTAGCCTTCCGTTTTTTCCCCTCTATTGCATTTACGATGAAAGATAGCTGCATGATCCAAAGCATTCTCTTCAACCTCCTCGCTGGCATGTTATATGATATGCTGTACTCAAGGTGTGTAATTTTTAATGCAGCACAAAGTTTTTTTTTTAAAAAAATATTTTAAATTAAAAATATTTTTATTTTTATTTTCATAGTTCATCAAAACTATATATAAAAAAAACACTAGAATAAATTAATTTAATTAAAAAAACTAAAATAACAATGTAAAACGCAATAATCGATTCTTTTAAGAACTAGGGACGCGTGGTGTGACCATGACAAAGTAGTTACAACATGGAAATAGTAATTAACGCATTAATCTTTCATCCTAAACTGGAGATCTCATTCATGAGTATTATTGAGTTGTCAATCATTTCATCCACGGCTCTTTTTAGATGAATGTTCTGGTTAAGTTTTTATTGAATATAAAAAATTATATTTAGATAACATTTTTTAGTGGAAATATTAAATTAAGTCAGTGCAAAGATTAATTATTAATTTAATACCAAGTCCAAAAAAAACTTGGACAATTCATTAACATATGAAATCCACAAATAAGATTATAACCACCCCATATAAAATAAATAAAAATAAATTATAAAATCTAATTCTAGAATGAAATTGAAACAAAAAAATCAATAAAAAAACAATATGAATTAACTCATCAAATATTAAACCCAAATCATAAAACCAAGATAATCTTATAAAAAACAAATTAAAATAAAATACAATATCTTAGATTTCAATAAGCCACTGTTGAATGAAGAATAATCCTATGTGACTGGAGGTCCAGTAAAGCCCTTGTTTGTGGCACAAGCAGGCAACAATCCCTACTAGGTCAATGAATTTACATCTTTATACCTTTGTTTTTCCTTAAAGTGGTGGGAAAAATAAAACGAGTAGATGGTTGACAATATACCCTTTACCGGTTGAAGAAACCTTGCATGTTGCGTTTTACATGTTTAAAATTTTTAAACGCCTATTTTGGTACTTAAACTATAATCCCAGACAGAATATGGGAAACAAAGGCAGCTTTTACAGCTGTTGTCTGTGCCTATTGTATGGGTGACCTGGTGGACCAAATACCTGTGGTAGGCTGGGAGCACATACTTTACTCACCTTGAGGTTACGTAACAATTTACAGCCCGAAAGAGGTTCAAAAATCTTCTAATCTGCTTTGAACTACAATCTCTTAACAACCTCCTATATCAACTTCATGGGAAAGTTCAGCTTGACTAGCGATTTGCCAAAGATGACATAACTCTGGAAGCCAGGAAGAATATAGCAGGTCCACGTACAAAACATGGACAAAAGGTTAAACACGGATTGACAAAAATAAACGGGAAGCATCCCCCACATCAATCTTGGACAAATTTTCACCGTATATCACCCAATGTTGCAGTCTATGGTTCTCCACTGTCATTACTTGAAAGGCTTTTGCTTCTCATACCATGTATAACCCACTAGTGTCATCAATTAAACCATGGTCATCCAAACAATGAATCATATAGGGGGGTTTAGTTGCTTATTCTGGTATCATTTTCCCTTCAGAAAATTATACTGGTAAATGATCATACATTTTCAACCAAACACAACAACCAGTTTCAGCATTTCTTAAAACCATGCAGGAAGACAAATCCTAGAGAAAGAACAAAAATTGTTCAATGTGCTATATTTAGTGTATATAGTATTCATCCATGTGTATATGTAACAAATCACGATGTATTGCAAACTGAGTGGTGCAATTTTAAATTTATAAATCAAAACTAGTTGGATGTCAATACCGGAAACGGAAATCAAATGAAAGAGCAGCATCACGATTCTTCTCAGAGAAATTACATAGCCCTGCCGGACCAGACAGAAGGCATATGACATCATCCTACTATTAAGAAAATCAACATTTTCATCACAAATGAAGCTCAGAAGGGGCAGTATATGAAGTTAACAAGAATCCAATCTTTGCAACTCTGCTTGGATGGTTATAATGCAACACTTTGTTTCTCAGTTTTCTGTTAATAGCTTCAACAGTTTACTCTTTTCTTAAGATTATTTGACTGAGATTTGTATCAAATGCACACCCATTTCAGCCATAGCAGTAGGTTTAGCATTGCTTCTTTCTAGAATGAAAATTTACTCATCCAAAAACTAGTATCAAACAAATTATATACCTCAACTTCATCATTAGGATTCTGTCCTGATAATGAACTCAATTCTGTTTAAAAATCATTAGTATTACTTATCAACAATAACAACAAGTCCACATAGAAAGCAAACCCACTTCATCCAAAGCATACACAGGATGCATATCATACATAACTCTAAGGATCTGTCTCGTATAACACCCCATTCAAGAGCCATCGGATAAACATTGTCTATCATTTTTTAATACGTTTTAGTAATTAGTTTTCAGAATCCAATGGCTAAGATACATCTGCGCTCAAAGGAACTTGTGCTCCGTACAAAACAGTAAAATGAATTCAGTCTCATTCTCGTCTATTGAAAAAAGAAAAAGAAAAAAAGAACTACTAAATGCAGTACTCTTCACATTGTCTATCCATTCTGGTGAGCAGATTAACCTGCTGCTATCACTCTATAAACCAATAAAAATATAAGCAGAAATAAAAGTTATAAAAAAAAACTAATCGAAACTCGAATGTAATTGTCAAAGATGTCTAAATTAATAGCAAAGCAAAGTTATTCTATCATCCAATTCATCCCATAACATTTCATCTCATCAATTCATTTGACCAATTAAAAACCCTAGCAAACAAATGCTAAGACTACAAAACCAGTCAAGATCAATAAAACAAACCTACTTCTTGGACGATTTCTTCTTGTCCTTGGAAGCCACAGCCTGCTTCTGTGGCTTAGGGTGCTTCTCGGCTTCGCTTGGGTCCAACCACTTGAGAGGATGGCGATTGAAGAAAGGCCAATTAGGGACAGTAACAAGTGAGGTGAAAACCACTCCACCGGCGTAAATTAGCATCATTGTTCGAAACGATCCCGTAATATAACCGGTAGCGAAAGCCACCACAGCGAAAACTATCAGCAGTACCTGCATCCATAGCTCCGCTAGTTTCTGCCCTTGCCAATCCATCTGATTACCAAAAATTCAACAATCACCTAAATATAATAATACCTTTTCATACCCTAGATTATGACTAAGAAATTAAAACGCATATCTGATGGAAGCATAACTGAAGGAGAGAGAGGAGGAATCTTACCGGGGATGTGAAGAGATCCCGAAAGCGAGAGGGAGAGGATGTCTGAAAGAGGATCGGATCTGCAGAATTACGAAAAAGTGAGGATTTTATTTTATATATTAGTATAATGATGTAACTCCGTTCTTTATTGACTGACGGAATGCCTTGGGATCAGACTCATGGGACACGGAACACATAGAGGAGGATGTAACTGAATAATTAACGGCGGAGATTAGGCCGCTCGTTGAGAAGAACCCGAAAATTCTAGAAAGGTACAAGAATAATTAATAATAATTAGATTCATTTTTTTACTTAAACCCGAAAAAAGAAATACATGATAAAACGAGAAAATTATAAAATTATTTTTACTTAAGTTGAAAATAATATTATTTATTTATACCTCTCTTATGAATTGAAGTATTAATAATTACTATTCCAACAATCTAAAATTTCTCGAGAATGGCCTATCATTATATACTAGTTTCAACGCACAAAATTCTCGCGTTTCTTATTTAACTAATTTATTATATTATTTTCTCCTTTTTATAAAGTAGAGCTCCATGCTTAAATTAATTTGTTTAGATTTTAATAATACAAAATGAATTTTAATGGAAATAAATAAAAGTTAAAATCTTAATTTCAATTATCTTTTAAAATTTAATAACTAGTAGTTGGTATAAATTTATATAAATCTTAAATAATACTTATTGAAAATTTTTAACTACCGTTATATTATTTCTGCTTAAAATTTTGGAACCTACATGATAGAACACCACACGGTTGAGCACACCATACCATTGCCCTCTAATTAAGTTAAAAAGATCTTTTTGATTCCTCAACCGAACAGATACAGAGCAAACCAACAAAACTTAAAGACTAGTATTGATGGGCTTTACCCCGAAGGGAGCCCTTCCAGAAATTCTCAATGGCCTGAGCCAAACCCAGGCCAATGAGGGGGTTTGGAAATAGTTTTCAACCAGCAATTGACGCGCCTCGGTTAGAACCTCACTAGCTGCGTCATTGCCCCAAGCGCAAAGATGGAGATAGTAGTAGCGTTGAGGCACGTTTAATAGTCAGCGCCACCTTTGGCAAAGCTCAATTTCTTCGATGTGGGACACTTAGGAAAGATACGGTCATCTCCAACACCCTGGTACAAGAAGATGCACAAGAGAGTAACGACGGAATGCTACAGGTGATCTTTAGGTAGATTTACAACGAATATGCAAATAAAAAAGAAAACGAAGATAAAAGATCAATACTTCATAAAATTAAGCAGATCAATTAATAGCCTTCGATGTGATGCCTCGGTGACTAATTAAACATTCATCCTATCGAAATTCTATGTTTCTTAAATGTCAAATCTTTTGGCCTTTTAGCTTTCTGTTGTTCAAGTTCCTAGATGTTTCAGATTCTGTGGAGTTCGCAGTACTGAGAAATCTAAATCTGTCTCAACAAGCTGATGTTCAAAGGCAAAGAGGAAAAACAAATGACTGTCCCAGTTGCTAGGATTGGTCAGTCTTTGTTTTTTAAGGTAGACTTCGAAGATTTCGTAATATAATGCTTGGTAAGTAACAATCAGCCCAGTTTTAAATTTACATCAGCAATAGAATTACTAGAATGTTTGATCCAGAGGTTAAACGGATTGTTCCATCCGGCCAAATATAAACAAAGACAGTTGCATAGCAAATCTTCCCTATTTCTTGACAGGACTGATAGGCATTTTTCAGGAAAGACAACGTCGTAGTAAGTCATTGAGAACAAACCGCCAGCCATGGATTCCTAAGTTTCAATTGCGTCACCAAAATAAGGATTCACATAAACTTGGCCTGTGGCCAAATGTTCTTATATGTTTTTGGTAACGAAATACAGAACATGGATTCCGTCAATTGGGTCACCAAAATAAGGCTTGCACTTATTAGTTAAGAATAGATGACAGGAAAGACGTCAACATCTTACATTGCATGCTTGTTATAAAAGGAAGACCGTTAGGTCAGCTAAAGATTTGCAGCACACATCTCCATTGCAAATCCATCCTTCCTTTCCCTTTTGAGTCCCAGTATTTTCATCTTCCTTCAAAGCACACTTGGGGTGAAGATCAAATTCACATCGTTTGCAACAGAAAGACCAAACAGATCCCATATCCCTACAGCCATCGCAAATATATACATGTACTGTGTTTAGAACGTATAAGCTCATGTTCAGCATGAAGTTCGTGTTTCACTTTCTCTGGCCACCCCTTTGCTTGTTCCTCAAGCTTCTCTTCCAGTTGCTTTAGATGTTCCTCGGTGAAGGGAAAAGCATCTGCCCTGTAAGCTGTCAAGTGCATCCGAGCTTCCTTAATAGTGGTCCGGCCACTGGGACCAGTTGCTACAGCTGCAGGAATCCCTTGAATTTTGAACTTCCGCACCAGGATTTGTTTCCTTACGTCGCCAAATGGAAGGGCTAATCAAGGCATTTCTGAATAGAACTTATCAAAGGTCGGTCACGGTCGCTTGAGATGAAGATCACCTCAAGGGCATTGTCTTTTGCTTTAATTGTGTGGTATGCTTCAATTAGCTCGGGTAAAAAGGAACGACAGGGAGGTAACCGTTGATCTGAGAAGTGAAGAAGAATGTTCTTTCCATCTAGCTCAGACATTGGGACCTAACCAAGAGTAAACCATGTATATGATCAGAAAATACCTTTGCTAATACATTCAATTTGTGATAATATTCAAGTTATTGGTAGCATGTATACAGTAAATCCAATTACTGGATGCAGGATAAGCTTAGAACAAAAAAACATTACCTTGAAACCGCTTTTGTCAGTCACAAAATCATTTTCCCCATGAAGCAAAACTGCTTCCAGTTTTGCCTTGTCAATCACAGCTAACTCATCGAGTTTCTCCGGTGTAAATGGATAGACTTCAAGACCGTGGTCTTCAATAACTTCACCCAAATTTGGGTTCAAAGTCTTTCCATCCTGCCAATTATGACTAGAGTAGGAAAGGTTCTAAACTCAAAATACTGTGCTAGCTTCTTACAGCTCCTGTTCTTAAATGGCAAAGCCAACCAAGGCATTGTCTCAAAACTTTGTTTGAAGTCTTATTCTTCATTGTCTAGAGATATCATGACTACTTCAAAGTTCTCTCCTTTTTCCTTGATCATCTTATAGAATTCCACTAGTTTAGGAGTGAATTCACGGCACATCCTATGACCATGCGCTGAAAAATAAAAGCCAACCAATTTTCCTTCAAGGTCCGACACAGGGATCTGTAATTTCAAATAGAAAAAATCGTGAATTATGGAATCATCAATTTAATATCAAAACTAGCTAATTGAACAAACCATCTACTTTGCTTCCATCTTTTGAAATCATGTAATCACGTGAGTATGAAACCAAGAAAGAGCTTATGGTCAGATTCCTCTTAGCGTCCTCCTCTTGCTCCTTGAGGAAATTCAGCCTGTCAATGGTGATCAAGAGTGAATGGATATCCATCCACACCATGTTCCCTGATGGTTCTGACACAACCATCACATGAAACCTTCGCATGAGCATCGAAAATGACAAGATTAGGAATCCCTTTTACTTTGAACACTTCCTTGAGATGTTTGCAGGTCTCCGTATCAGAAAATGGAATGGCAAGACATGGCATTTTGGAGAAGTACGTATTGAAGACTCGTCATCTCTATCAGAAGAAATGAAAACCAATTCAAAGTCCTCTTTGGATGAGAGCTGTTCATAGACTTGGATCAACAATGGGGTGAAACTTCGGCATGGCCCGTACCATGCACCAGAGAAATAGAATCCCACGGTCCTCCCAACCAAATTGCTGACTTTAACCTAAGTAATAAACAATGTCAAGAGTAGAGCTGCATAAAAGAACTGCCTAATCACCGTTGTTGCGGATGAGCAAGTCCCTCTCTACTGAAGAAAGAAGAGATTAAAGGTCAAGAGAAACGTCTTCGTTGGTCATTTTTTTATATTTTTTCGTCACTCTCCACTACAAATTCAAGGTGCTATGTAATTGAACCACTTGCAGGCTAGAAATGAAGAATAATTGTGCAAGGTTACTTCCATTCATTTGGACAGCAAGCTTACTTTATTATAATATAATATTTTGATCAACGATAAGTTCATTGATTGATTGGTGATGACGGAAACATTATCATTTTTAACTGAAAGGTTACTTTCAACCCTTGAACATAGTGGTAAACACTTTTAACTTGTGTTTCCAAAATTACATTAACACCATATTAAAATTTTGAGGGAAAAAATTAAAATACCGCTTAATTAGTAATTTCTTATTAAATTCTCAACTTTATGTTTAATTTTTCCCTTCCCGCCTTTTCTTTTCTTCGTCCTCTTTCCCCTCTCCTCGTACTTCTTTCTCCTGTCCCTCTACATCTCTTCTATCTCATCTCTACATTCATGGAAATCTTTTTTCGGGTGGGGAAAGAGGTCAAGTATCTACGAGGGGAAGGAGGGTAATAACACATTACACGAGAATTAGAATACATTCCGAGCAGAAGGCAATTTTCCAAAGGTTGATGTCTTTTTAGTGGAACAAGAGTTAGTAAATCAAAATTATTCATTCAAAAATCTATAATCTGAAAGCTACGCATGGTTCGTAAACTATCAGTTAGGCCAACCATTGCAATTAACAAGGGCTATTTGTCAAATTATGATACAACAAAACTATGATGAAAACAGATTTTCATCTAAGCTCTCCAAGAAGTTTCTCATGGAACAATGAGCATAGCTCGAAATAAAAAAACAAGCTGTCCACTCAAGAAGAAGCTTGCGACTTCTTTGACTTGCTGGTTGCTATCTGGGTCTCAGGCTGTAATGTCAGTATACATAATTAGAGAAGAAGAAATAAAAACACAAGCAATATATAATCATACTTTGCCGTCTAGATTACCTCTTTCTTAACTGGCTCTTCCTTCTCAGACAAAACCAACTCAATGTGGCAAGGGCTGGACATGTAAGCTAACGAGAGAGAGAAAAAGATTCTAATGAATACAGAGACAGAAGTGTATGTTTAACTCGTATAGTCTAATAAAAACAAACATACGATTAATTCTTCCATGTGCCCTATATGTCCGCCGCCTCTGCTTCTGTGCCTGATTCACCTGGATGTGAGATATGTAGAGTGCATCCACATCCAAACCCTTGACCTGGAAGGGTCATAAAATCAGCAAGTGAAATGCTGAAGATGATAAAAACATGAAGATCAAAGAGATAATAGTGATGTACCTCAGCATTGCTCTCAGCATTCTTGAGCAAGTCCAGGATGAACCTTGCAGACTTGACAGGCCAGCGTCCTTGTCCATTTGAGTGTCTGTTCTTTGCTTGAGCAGTTCGCCCAACTCCACCACAGAAACGTCGGAATGGAATGGCCTGCTTGTGAGCCAGCACATCTTCCAGGTACCTCTTGGCCTTGGCCAAAGGCAACTTCCTCAAAGCAAAAGCTGTCTCCCTTGTATTCTGCATAAACATTAAAAAGGACGCACAAGTCAAAACAAGCTAAAAAAATCTCTGAAAGTGAGAAACACAAAAGATCAAAACAAAATTGAAATCAAAATCATCCAATACATGTTGGGATTACTGAATTTTTGAGAAGTCAGAATTTGAACCAACTTGTGAGGAGAAGTTCATCAGGAACAATGGACTGAACATCAATGGATAGCAATTCATGCAGATATAAAAGAAACACGTGGAGAAAAATTGATATGAAAACAAATGTACCATCATTTACTGAACCTTCAGCCACTAATAACAACAGAGGTTCACCCAAGAACAATGCAATTAATTTCCCTGAAGTTTACGAGAGCCCTGTTCACAAAAGGCAACAGGGCCCTGCTTTTTTCATCAGGTTAACAACTGGAATAGAAAATATGAGGAGCAGTTTTGGCTGGTTAAAACAAAGAATAAAATGATGAAGAAAAACATCCAATGCTCTTCATTTCTTGCTACTGAAATCCACAATACCTCATTTAGCAAATTTTAACATTATTTCATTTTTCCTCAACTCAAAATGACAAAAAATAACTGAAAATATCATTCCCTGCCGACAAAACATCAGATAACCTAAGCAAAGATTGGTCAGAGTTAAAATTAACATTTCATAATCCAAGCAACAAATAGATCCAATCTTTAAGCTTGTTATGTTGATTTCGAAGGGAGTGAACATCTATATTGTTTTGTACACAAAAACAATATGTAATTCAAACAAAAGCAAGAGTTTCTCAAAACCAATAACACTAGGAGAAGACAAGAATCATATAATAATTAATCAAATCCATCAGAAACTACAGATATAAACAAAATCGTAACACCAAAATGTGCCATCATTTACTGAACCTTCAGCCACATAAAATAAAACAGAGGTTCACCCAATAACAATGTAACTGATTTCCCTGAAGTTTACGAGAGACCTGTTCACATAGGCAACAGGCCCCTGCTTTTTTCATCAGGTTTTACTAGCAAAATCAAGAACAACCAACGGTCATACAAAAAACGAAACTAAACCCTAAACACAATACCTTAAAATGAACTCTGAGGTCACCACCCCTTGCTTTGCAGGCTGCACCATAAGCATGGACAAAATCGTATAAAATTAAGATCTCCTCCAATGCACAGAAAACCCAAATGGAAAAATATTAGAACACTTACACTTAGTGGGATTATCAGGCTCTCTAGAGTACTTCACCTAAAAAAGAAAGAGCAAGGGACACGGTGTGAATTAGAGATTAATGCAAGAAACAAAGGAAGAATAGGGAGCAAAAAGCGGAGATGTACCATGGTGGCTTATGCTGCAGCACCTTCTGCCTTGTTGAAGCTACAGACGTTGATGCCAGTTCTAGCATAAGAGAAGATGTGACACAGCTGGGTGCGGTTTATATATAGGGTTGCTAAATGAGAGAAACCCTAATTCTTGCTGCAGAGAACGCCTTCGACGCTGCTCTTTATTTGGGCTGGGTTATTTGGGTTTCAGCTTTTGTCATGTGAAGCCCATAACTAATTTTAAAACAATAAAAAAGAAAAGAAAAGCAGGAAGGGAACTTTCATTGGTCCCTAATGGGCTCTACAGCCCAGCTAAGCTGCAAGATAGGTCTTATTTAAAGGACCCAATAGCTGAATAGATAGTTTTTGGTATAATGGACAGTATTTATGGAAAAGAACTGGACAAGTAGCTAGCTGACTTATTTTATGTTCAGTAGATATTGGATGAGATCTGACCAATTCAGGACCTAAACTAGTTTAGGTTGAAGGGGAAAAAAAACCAACTCTTCTAACTTTCTATCAATCCAAGATGACTTTATTATATATAAACTTAAACCTTAACTCGAGTTGATTTTTAAATTGAATTTTAAAATTATAATAATATTTATTTTTATTTTTATGTTATCTTAGATTATTCAAATTGACCATCCTAACTTTTCACTTAAACTTTTACCCTCTAGTTAAATTTTAAAACTATAATGATAATTATTTTTATCATTATATTGACTTAGGTTAATAGTCAATCTGATTTGTGGCTCTAGTTTTGCACTAGGTTAATTCTCGAGTCAAGTTTAAAAAATATATCAATAATTATTTTTACCTCTATTAACCCAGTCAATGGTCAACTTAACTTGAGCTTATCCTTGGATTGGTTTTTAAGTTGGGCTTAAAAATTATGATAATAATAACTTTTATATTTTTTACTAACTTGAGTTAATGGTTAACCCAACTTGTGATTTACGTCTGGCTTTGAATTGACCATCAAGTCAAGTTTCAAAACTATAATAATAATTGTTTCTATACTTAAGCTTTGCTAGGCAATGATTAACTTAACTCAGGCTTGGTCTTAGGTTGACTCCAAGTTGAACTTTAAAATTATGATAATTATTATTTTTATTTTTACATTGATTTGATCAATGATCAACATGGCTCATGTCCCTAATCTTATCTTAAGTCAATTCCTAAGTTGATTTTAAAAATTACAATAATAATTATTTTTATTCACTTGAGCCATGTCCCAAGCCTTATTCAGGGTCATCTTCCTAACCAGGTTTTTAAAATTATGATAATAATTATTTTTATCTTTATGTTGATCCAGACTAATAATTAACCTAACATGAGATTTAGGTCTTTTTCTGGATCGAATCCTAATTCAAGTTTTAAAATTATTACGATAACCATTTTATTATTGTGTTGAGCTGGGTCAATGGTCAACCTAATATGTAACCCCAGGCCTTGTCTATATTTGATTTCATAATCGGGTTTTTAAATTATAATAATAATAATTATTTTTTATATTAATTTAGATCAATTTAGATTTACCATTGTATAGATAACTAAACAAGTTTGTCCCATCTCTTTTAATGACGCAAAAGTTTTTTAACTAAAACAGTATTGACATGACATAAATTAATTTTTGTATAGTCTAAAGATGCACCAAACAATTTCACAAAAGCTTATTTTTATTATTAAATATTTATTTGTGGTAATTTATCAAAACAGTTGCTTATTTTAGCATAAAAAATATAATAAAAAATGTTTAAAAATATTTATCACACTTAATTTAATACTATTTTATTCTCAAAAAACCTTGTTTGTTCAAAACTATTTCTATATTATTTACTTTTTGTCCTTTTCTATTTCTTAAAAACAAAAAAAGTTTAAAAAATACAAAATGAACAACAAAAATATTAATTATAAATAGATTTAATAATATAAAAACTAATAAATATATTGTTTCTGAAATGATAAGAATTGATTGATTAGTTTTGATAAACTACAGCAATTAAGTTATAATTAACTCTTCATATCAAGAAGATGGTTGCCAGCAGAATTCTTGAAATGAAGCTGCATCTACTGGCAACGATGGTTATATATATATATATATATATAAGCCAATGAGAACAAACAAAGCTTGTGGACAAGTATAATGATACAAAAGGACATGGCCCTAAGAGCATCTCCAACGGAGAAGCCAAATGAATAACTAAAAATAAAAAATTAATATTTTAATTTTTTTTGTTTATTTTGCACACTTCAAAAAAAAAGCCAAACAAAATATTAAAATGTCTTTTCTCTTCTATAAATACTATTTCTATATATCTCTTTAAAAAGCCAAAACCAATAAAATAGGACCATTAACAAAATAGACCAATTAAATGTAGACACGTGGAAAAAAAATAATATTAAACAATATTAAAAAATAATAAAACATTTATTTTTTTTTACTCTAATATAAATAGCTCTTCAAATGGCTTTTTTCCATTGGAATAGATATGATAAGATAAACTATATTTATACTATTTAAAATGCTATTTTATCAATTTAGCTTTTTAAAATAGTATTTTGGATTGGAGATGCTCTAAAGAGTCCACTGCCGAAATAAGTGTGATTAAAACATTATTTTTTATAATAATTTTATTTAAATATATATTAAAATAACTTTTTTTATTTTTTAAAGTTTATTTTTAACAACAACATATATTACAATGATACGAAAATATATAAAAAATTAATTTAAAAAAAATAAAATAATTAAAAAAAAAAAACACTTACAAAATATAAAAATAAATATCTTACTGTAAAAACTAGTCCTGTAATCCAAAACGTAATTTAAGAAAACAGCTGAGTGACCCTGCAAAAAGCAGCAGCAAGAATTGCAGCGCCAACAAGATAATTCAGCAAGCTAGATGGTCAAAAACAGTATCCTTTTTTCTGAAAAAACGTTAGCTAACATTCATAATCTCTCACAGAGTAGATGATCGATATCTCCATTTTTCTTTTTAAATCACCAACACCAATACACACAAACAGTCAAGGAATCAAGCGAGGCCCTTGAAGAACAGAGCACCAGCTTCAACGTTAAAGAGACCAGACTGCAAAATGCTAAGCCAACAGGAATTGCTTATAAATTCGAGGGCCAAAACACTGAAGAAAAAACTGCAGCGCGAGTGAGATAATGCAACAAGGCTCGAAGACGAGGAGTGGCCGCAGACACATGAAGCATCAATACTTGAAATGCACAAACTTAGTCCGTGTGCTCAGCCCAGATAATCCTACCACTTTACAGCCTGGAGATGGCATTTGTGAGGGTTGTAGCAGCCAACTGTGAGAGCACCAGATGAAGCAGGTAGCAGTAGAAGAACAGAACCAGACAAGACTGAAAGTAATCATGTACACAGTGGCGGAGCCGCAATGGGAATTAAGAGGCCACTTGCCCCCTTAATTCTTTTTTTTTTTTTTTTAATATTTTTTATATTAAAATTTCAATATAATAATCTAACAAGCTCTTATTTTTTTTTGAATTGTTGTTCCTACCTCTTTTTCTTTTACATTTTTTTTTAAATTCTAAATTATTAATTAGTTAAGTAACTTTTTATGCTTCATGCTTAATATTTTAGGTGAGTTTTTTTTATTTTTCTATTTATTTCATCATTTAATTTTAGTTTTATTTCTTAATAATATAATAATTTATGTATTTGTTAAATTAATATATGTATGTATAATATTATATGCATATAAATATTAATTAAAATGAGTTTTAATGAATTAATATATATATTGTTATGAATTTTATTTGAAAAATAATAGTGATCAATGTACTAGTGATTAAAAATAAAGTACTAAACAACTAAAAAAATTAGAGATACAATAAAAAAATTAAAAATATATTAATATTTATATTTAACCCACTTGTATAAAATAACAAATTAATAAAGAATTGTTGTTAATAATTTCACTAGTTCCTTAAAGATTTAGAAATAGATGAATGAAAGTTTCATTATATAGATTAAGAAATAATATATTTAATAATATTAATAATAAATTCATTATTAAGCAATTTTAAAATATAAAAACTCAAAAAAATAATTATAATATAAGTTTTTTTATTTAAAAAATATTTTTAAATTAATTTTGCTTGACATGAGTTAGTACATATATTTTAAATTAATTTCTCTATATATAATATATGTTTATATAATATAAGACATTAAATATTTATAATTTATTTTTTTATTAAAAATTTTCTAGCTCAGCCACATTATACGTTGAATTTTAACCATCAAGATTCAGTGCTATTAATACTGTGATTGTTCTTACATCAAAGATTACAAAAGGGCATGATAAACAACAGAAGAGATGACACGAGGAATCCTTATCTTTATGACTTTATTTGACAAATTTCCGAGCATGCATAGAATTTTCAATGCTCATGAAACAGAAACTAGGTCCGTATGTGCAACAAGCACAAGAACACCATCACAATACCATCAGCATGTTCGGATCCAGGGGATCCAGCAGATTCATAAGCAGCCATGGTCGCCACAATAGTCAGAGCAACTTCAGTGTTCCATAAAATCTCTCTAGTCTTGAAGAATCTTCTCTCTCAGAACCAGATTGGTTATGAAGTATAAATACCAGTCCCAAGAGCCACGTATAATCAACCTCCACTTCATTTTCACCCTCATCATCTACGTACATCTTGCTAGACCATTGAACACCATGGATGTCCTGTAAAAACCATATAAAACAACACAGCATCATTAGCATCCAGACCCAAAATAAACCGACCAAAGTTAATAAACTTAATAACTTTTGTTACAGGAAGCAAGACTATAATCCTTCGAAAGAGCGAACAACATGTAAATTGCATTAACCAGGTAATTTTAAAGTAATAGGAACAAGAGCAGATCACATACTTAGCACTTGTTCAGCGGACAATCACCTGGAAGGATACTTGCGATGCATCCTCTTCAAGAGATCTATAACTGGAGTAGAAATCGATTGAATAACTTTATCAGGAAACCTCAAATCCTTCCTCGAAATCCCTCAGAATATCCTTAACCGTTTCCCAATTAAATGGAGAAAACCCCACCAACATAATATCAGGAAAGAGACATGGCATATAGCCTTTGTGTACTTGATACTTGCTCATCAAGAAAACTGTTTTTTTCCTCTCATAATTAATGTCTCTAATTTTTTTTATTACATTAAATTCTTTCTAAAATATTACTATTATTTTAGTTTTTATAGTAATTAATGAGAGAGAAAATTATCAAGTCCAAGTAAGAAATCAATGCTGATGACGTAAAGTAAAAAAAAAAATATATCAACTTACATTCTTTTTAGTGTAAAATAATCACATGTATTTGATATGATATATTAACGTAATCAAATTATTAATATAATTAAAAAAATAATATAATGTAATGGGATAATTTATTACATTGGTTGTAAAATAATGAAGGCTTCGGTAAAGTTTTATTTTTGTCGTTATAATTTTCAAAATAATTTATTTTAATCCCTGTATGTTATTTTTATTCACAAATTGCCTTATTTGAAAATTTTTGGTCATTATAATTTATGAAAATTACAATTTAGTCCCTGCAATGGGATTTTTTAAATTAGTCCCTCCATGGTCAGTACCCTTAATCATGCAATGTTTTATTACCTAGGTTTTTTTTTTAATGTGATGTTTATAATATAATAATTCGTTTTTTTATTACAATTGCAATCCTTCATTGCATTATAATTTTAAAAAAATTGCATAACCAAACATAGATATGTAATGGATAATCATATTACATGATTTATTACCTCCACAAAATACTTAGTGTTATTGTCTTTCATAAAATGCAATGTTACACATTGTTTTTATGAATGTTAAGATACGATTAGTAACCCATTTTAAAACTTGAATTGCTTAAACCCTTTGATTAATATCATAATTAATCACGTATGCTGGACCAAGCATTCAAATTTATTGATTCCTTTTTAATTTTTCTGCTTAAAATGAAACACCACGAAATCATTAATGATTTTATAAATAAATATAGAAAAAAAAAGAAAAAAAAAGAAAAGAAAAAAATGGTGGGAGTATTATTAATTATCAAGTGCAATCTCGAGAAGTAACGGGTAACATCCTAATAGTTATTCTCTATCCCACTTTTTAAAAAATAAACAAACACAAGTATAAGAAAAAAATTCTTAAATGAAGATATTATTATTATTTTTTATAAGTCATGAATTTTATTTATTTATTTATTATCAATTTTCCTTTTCTTTTTCTTTTTCTTACTAATAAGATACTAATACTTACTCCATCAACACTGAAAGATTTTCCCTACTTTTTTTTTGGGAGCTAGGTATTTAATTTTCTATTTTTACCAAGTGGCAGAGGCTCAAGTTGCAGAACCTGAAACCACTTGAAGCAGATTCTACTCATGTTGGTGCATATATTTACTGGCTTCAGGATTATTGTCAGACTCATGCCACTTTGTAATCTTTGCAGTTCCAAAACTGAACAATGAAACAATTTAAATTAAGCTTCAAAAAAGTATGCAAACTGAATTACATTTCCCATGAGTCTCATCTGGGTCTAAATAATTTTCAAGCCAATGTTTGGGCAAGTTTATGCATTGGCAGTCAGAAAATGTAGCTGGACATGAAGGAAGAATAGGCAATGACATCAGCCCAGTCTGGGAAAAGGCCCTTCAACCTCCTTGCTTCATCGTCTAAAACTTGGTCTACCACAGCAACTTCCACCCTTAAATCATCAGAACTGCTAGCCTGTACTTTCCAAAGAGAATTTATAACTCTTTAACAAAACTGAACTATGTCTAGAAAGAATCATCCTCGTAGACTAAGCTAATCAAGGACAGAACTTTACCTCTAACCAGAAAGTCCAATTTCGTTGGCTGTTTCCACTAAGTCTTATTATGTAGGATGGTGGACCGCCATCAATTGTCTCAGGAACTGCCCGATTTCCAGAGTGATTAATTACACAACAGAGCAAAATACTCAGAGACAAGTGGAATCTTAAAATTTCGTACCTGAAAGCATATTGTCTGCAAATGACCAGCTTGATAAAGGACCGGTAATGTTAAGGACTGCTACCCAAACCTCCTCCAAGTCACTAAAAGACACAGCGTATGAAGATTAAAACGATATCTATGTTTGATGATATAACATATGCACACAAGTATTCCAAGCGAATTAAAATTAAGAGTTTTTCTTAGTTGTTTCTCTCCTGTGCAGTCAAATAGCATTCCCGGTGTTGATATTTCATTTTTTGCCGTGTCTTGGATCTATAGAACATCTACCAATTATCCATTGAAAATACAAACTTCTAAAAGTAAGTACACATATTTTCCACGATATATGTATATGAATGATAGATTTATAATTAATCAGGCAAGAAGCATGTGGACAGTTCGCTCATTAAACAGAGCAATAATCTTGTTAAAGTAATACCACAATCTTCTAACATCATCCTATGGTTCAAGGCATGTGGGTTTAGCTGAGCTAGACAGCACACCCTCACCTGGAATAATCCAGGTTTGAATTCCTCCCCTAGCAACATTGTGCACTACTGTCAGAAAATGCTCCAACAGTTTCTTGCATGAGCTGACAGTTGAACTGAGTATTCCTGTATCATATCCCTCCAAACCGAGGATGCAAAAAACTCAAAGAAGCATATTTTTTAAGCACAAGACAAGTTTTCATGCACTTCCATGCAGATCAACAGTACATTCTACTCACCCCAAATAAAATTCCAAGTAAACTCTCCGAGATTTGTCGCTGGAAACGCTATGTGGCTTGTAATTAGATAAGTGGGGGAAATATCTATAGCGTTTCAAAATGCCATCACTCCTTGCTGGGAACTTTAAGCTTTGAGAAAACAAGAAGGGCACTGGAAAAATTCCCTGCCAAATAAATTATATAAAAAAACAGAAAGAAAGTTACACAAAATAAGGTTTATCAATGAATTTGATTGATTTGCAACCACTTTAGAACATATAATTCAAGATGAAGTAACTTGCCCTTCACGGGCACTAAAACTAAATCTACCACTTCATTGAAAGATGAGAAAACCTGGCACACCACAGGAAATCAACGCCCCTCCCCCCTCTCTTTAAATGAGGCTGTTATGGAAAATGACCAGGTTGGGGAGAGAGGAAAGATTAACAAATTGAAAGAAAATTATCACGTGCTTCCAGATTTCAATAAAAAAGGGAATGTTGCCTAAGGGCAGGTACTTGTGATTCAAATACTGACACGAGAAACCAGCCATCTGTTGTGATTGTGAGTTATATAACTTGTTACGTCTAGACAAGGCAAAAGAGCCACCTCAAATCATAGATTTGACGTAGCATTAGCAGCTGATATTAAATGCGAAATTTGCTTACCATCCAAGTCTCTCGGTGAGACATATTAGCAGTTTCAAAAGATAACTCTTGGCCAATATGCAATTCCTTTGCCACTTCAGGAGCATATTTGAAAAGAAACAATAAAGAATTGGAATCTACAACAGAAAATTCATAGCTGGAGTCCACAATCCTATTTACATCTGTCAATCCACAGAAGCAAAAGAAGTTTTCAGACAAGATGGCTGAGAAAGGGGGCCTAAAATCAGAACAAATAAAGAAGCCCATAACAGAACTAATAATTGAACTGTGTTCATAATTCACGCATCAATGCAAAATCTTTCTAGCAGTTATAACTAGCTAGAGTTTTAAAAGGCTTTAAGTATCAAGTGCTCTCTTCTTCATACCTGTAGTAACAAGTGTATGCTGAAAAACAACCCTCTTTGGTGCGGCATTGCTGTATGGAAAAAATTGAGATGAGAGAGCCAGAGCAAGTACACTAATATGCGACAGGAGCTGCAAGATCGAAGACCGAGCTAACCAATGACTACAAACAGGTATTAGTGGGCCCACACACCAACCAGTTACAACCCCAACTGATGCTGCCACTACAACATCAGGAACATAATAGCCTGCAAGAAGGGATCTGGTAATCATAATCCACACTTTACTTCAGAGCATATAATCAATTGCTCAGTTATAACTGTACAAAACAATCATAATGGTTCTGTAGAATATTGACTACTAGAAATAGATATCTATCCTATAGCATACTTGAAAGTCATCGAGAGAAGAGTACAAGCAGAACTTTGAAAGGGATATAAGTGAATCATCCTCTTTTAGCCATGTCAAAGTTGAAAATACCACCATATGACACATAATGAAGGTGGTCTATATAAAGTCGATCCAATAAAATGAGACATCATATCAAGTATTTTTAACATTTGCACCTCAGATAAAAAACAAATAGAAAGGATAATTCATATAAGAATCGGTTGGAAGTATCTGATACTCCAATTCTTTTTTTTTTTTCCTCTACACCTGTCCAAAAGTTATCAACAACCAGCACTGTAAGGAAAAAAAACACTTGCTGACAATATTATTTATACAAAATTCAATTTTCCAGTTAAAGTACAGAAATGAACATATATTGATGCCCGTCTCACAATCAGAAGAACAACCAGAAAAAATCCAATTGATATAAACAGCATCAGAAAAAATAGTTTAGGAATACTAACCATAGGGAGGTGGGACGACACCCATCATGCCCATCTTCTCAATCAAAAATTGGGTAAGAAACCCCCCAAAATATACCGAGTATGCAAGACATGGAATTAGAGGTATTACATAAAAAACTGCTGACCTGAAAGAAAGAGCATCAGTCATAACCACTTCTGTTTTTTTGGCTACCATTTGCCACCTTTCTTCAATTAGAAAGTGACTAAAATGCAGAAGAAGAAAAAGGACTTTAATGCGAGAAAAAAGAGCAAAGAGACAACAATCTATGTTCCATTTGGCGCTATCACCCACATCTCCTGCAAGACTGTTTCAAGTCTCCTCGTAAACAAGAAGAAAAAAGAAAAGAATGAAAACACTTAAAAAAATAAGAAAGTGCACGAAAAAATTGTGATCTCTCAAAATGTTCCAGAATTAGCTAAGACAACAAGCTGTGCTTTGGATCCAATTAACAACAGTCCAAAACCATGTGCAGCAGAAAAAAACATAAGATGCATTTCAACAGTCTATTAAGAGGATCACAAGGAGTGGTTCTTGAAAATATTCAGAAATAGCAAATTCAATGTAAGGACAGCTTAATGGCAGCTGTTGTGTCAGAGTGCAACATGACATGTCTTGAAGAAATCTAAAAGACATTGCAAGTCAACACCTATCTTTCAAGGAAGGCTCCAAAATGATGCTATAAGAACACTAAAATGGAAGTCCAGCATACTTGAAAGGCGGAAAATCAGCCAGTGTAGATATTTTGAGGCAACAAGAACTTCAGTGTATTAAAGTTCATTAAAAAGTCACCAAAGGATAACAGCTCCCGTATATGGGATATATAAATAGACACAAATCACTGAACAGCAGATATTTTGCAGCATGCTTCAACTATTTATAGCAAAGATAGCATTATAAAGCAGTTCTAAGAGACACTAAAATAGAAGTCTCCATGCACAACATCACAAACCCGCAATGCAACACATGCAACTTCAATATAATAACCAATTGAGAAGAAAATTCCAGCCAACATTCACAAGAAGGAATCTGATTGTGATCCATCGAAACCAGTACCTTGGTGATTGATGATCACTGGACTTGATAGATAGGGAAAAGAAGATCCATGCTGGAAGCATAGATGCAGACACAGAAAACGTCAAAAACCCTCCACTGAGCCCAGCTACAAGATAAGCCTGTCTTTACTATAGTTAGCCGTTGAAAACTTTAGAAACTATCAAAATCTAGAAGGCAAGTGGATTTTTTCTAAAATAGTAAACTAAAAATAGCAATTACATACTGAAGTTAAGCAAGCATAAAATCCAAATGCTCCCCAAAATCTTGCTTCTTCAGCTAGTGCCTGCAAAATATACTTCATTTCAGATATCTGCTAGCTTCTGTGATGGATGATGCAACTAGACTAGATTTAAAACACCCAGGCGATGCATGTGAAACTCCATCAAACTGCAAGAAAGGCATAGTGCTACCAAACAATTTAAAAGGGATGTAGAAAAAAATTAGGATTAGCCGCACAACACAAGTCAAAGAGTCCAATGAATCAAGTCACTAACAGTTGTGGTGGAATTGCATATTTTATGGAAAATTTATCTTTGGCAATTTGGACCCTTGAAGGGGAGTCTTCAAAAGAGAACTTGGAGGCAATCTCACCCTTCTACCTTTTAACATGGAGTTGCTTGCTGATCTCAAGGCTCAAAACAGCAACCTTGAGGTCGCAAGCCAAAAGGTTTACCTTTACATTGTGCCAAGCAATAGCATATTGTAAACATAGGAAGGAAAGAAGAAAATTTTTTATGAGAGAGAAGTGAACATGTCCACCATCCATATGAAGTAGCTGACGTAATTCAAGAAGATAGTTTTCAGCAATTGGTTATTTTCACAATTATCAAATATCCTAATTAGGTCTGCTATTACAATTAATGCTTTGCTTTTCAATAAGGCCCTATTAAAGGAGAAGCTCAACAATATAGTAATCAAAGTAAAGACTGACCAAAAATTGGTCACCGAACTCTACTAAATGCCATGCATATCGAAGGTTTGTCATCCTTGGCAACTAGAGGACATCTTGCCCCATTTATACAAGCAACCCATCTTATGATCATGTTTGTCTATCGGTTTTCAATTCCTAATAAATTGGTTTTCTATATTGTTTCCTCATATTCTAATGCAGACTTGCATTTGAATCAATTATTTTGAAATTTCATCTCATTGGTGAAGTCAGTAAAATGCAGCACGACTTGAACACCATATTAAATGGCATGTATACTCATTATTATCAGTAACCAAAGATGTTCCATATGAATATTATTACCTAGGATGTACAAATTCAAAGAAATCCTGATTTGCGAACACTTCTAGCCATGTGTTTAAAGAAAATGTAAAAGGCATGGCCTGGGTAAGTGATTTCTCAAAAAACTATTTGCTATGTAATTGTACCTCCTCTGATTTCTTGATAACTGAAACATCTTGAGAGAGGGGGAAACAACCCCAAACAGTTCTTGGAATTAGCAAACCAACAAGTGAGCAGGGGATGAACATCAAGAATGCCAGGTATGGATGTGCAAACCTGCATTTGAATCTTGCATGTCAATGTGAACCATGACCAGCAGTAACAACATCATCTCTCTCTCTATCTCTCTCTCTCTCTCACACACACACACACACACACCTCCTCTCACAGTTGAAGCTACAGCTACTCCTAAGATACAGAAGAGATTTATGGTGTCCCAGTGAAGTTCATCATTATAACATCATCATCCAATTGAAGTTCATCTTGTTGTTGAATACAATGAAACTACTGAGAAAAACCATGAGCCACAGTTAAAGCAGACACCACGCTCACACCTTGTGAACCTTTTCCCATTCAAAATACCAGGGAGAATAAATCAAAAGAACCAGAGGAACAAACTCACCAGCCCAAAGCATAACTAGAGAAGAACAGTTGCAAAATAGAAAGGATAATCGGGAAAATAATTGCCAGTATAATCCCGGCAGCATGGAAAAGCAGTCCTGGAAAGTAAACAGGATCTGAGTATTATCAACAAAATCTTCAATATGCATGTCTTGTGTTTATTAACTTATCAATGTGGAGGTGGGAGTGGGGTATCAGAGCATGGAGATTCAGAAGAAAAAATTCAAATAAAAATCAGCAGTAGAGAATCAACCTTTCACAAAATCATAGAAGATTGCAAAACATGAACGTGACCTAGAATCCCAAAAATGCAAAAGGAATGGCATTACAAAAAAGATGGCGATGGGAATACTATGGAGTACCACAGCTACCCTTCTTGAATAGAAAATCTGAAAAAAAAAAAAATTATAGATAAAAGGGCGATGCTATGCATTACTCAAGGTCATAAAAGGTCATATAGTGAGTCATAAATGTGATAAAATTTAAGAAAGAATAATGAAACATTGGATAGAGAAGATGTCATAAACTTTGCGGCGTACAAGGAACCATGATAAGTAATCAAAGAAAACAGCCCTCTCATCCTTGTAGTCATTGGTTGTGGCTTTAGATTCTCTTTCTCGAGCACTTTGTAGCTTGGAAGAATTTGTGAAGGCTTTGAGTATGCTTAGCAAATTTTCTCCACGAGCTTGAATGCTCCCAGGTCTGGTATGAGTACATTCAAATGCATCAGAGGATGCACTTAAGAATAACGCGACAAAAGAATTCCAATGATGTATATTTATATACCAAAATAGCAGATGTAGAGCATACAGTAATTTGTCCAATGTATCAAAGGATGTATGGTAGTAATAACCACCAAGAAGAAAGATGATATCAAGGCTTGGAATGTTTCCATGATCTTGGGAAAATATTCTGTAATCTGTATCTCCAGGAATCACAGGAAAGATGTCCTACATAGAGAAATAGATCATTTAGAACTGAAATAATTAATGCAAAGAGAGGACATGCACAGCAGATGGGTATTGGAATAAACCACACATATATGTCAGGAGAATTTTAAAGTGGCCCAGGTGAATATGAAACAAAATCAAGCAAAAAATATTTGTTTCTTTGTTTCCTTACAAGTAACCACAAAATAAAATACTCATCAGAATGTGTTGAAGTTAAATTTATAAAACAAGAAAAATAAAAGAAAACCTGAGCAGCACTATGTGCCATGGGATATACTGCAGACTCTGCATATACTTGAGAAGGCCAAGACCCAGGTCCAGATTGGCAGACTAAATCTGTTAATACAACAGTATTCACATCAGCATAGAGCAGCAGGACCATTACACGGAACTCTGAATCATTAAAGAAAGTCAAAAACTTATGTTCCCAACTACCAACAAATAATATTTTAATTCATTTCTTATATTTTCATATCTGGCAGCTTTGGAAGTGAGTGATGTCGAGAACATGGTACATTTATTCTGATATAATGTGAATGCATGTTGAGCTAACTTTAAGAGGCTTCCCCCTGGATCAATCATGATATAGGAAAAAAGTTGCATGTTCTGCAGATCACAGGCTGCTTTCTGTTTTCTGCTCTAAATCCAGTTCCCTTTTCCCCAAATCATTGAGTCAATGTTCCATATGCATTCTAAAAAGGTTGAGAAAAAGTAACATTGGAATTGGATCATATCCTACCAGGACCAGCAGTCCCAGATGCTTCCACGTTTATAGAAGCTCCAACTGAATCACGCCATTTATGTGTCGTCATGAAGCCATGTGAACCCTGAGACATCATAATCAACCAAACGCTTTTAAGATTAAAGTGAGAGAAGTTAAATAGAAAATAACTTGATAAATAATGGTCTACTAAATGTGTTTTGAATGCAAGGAATTTGTTGCGGTTGTCCAACAAGGTAGGACAAAGAAAGCTGCATTCAGTATGTTCATAAATATGACTTGTCCACGATGGAAATGGCAACACAACAAATGTTTTCTTTTAACAAAAATACTCAAATAATAATATTGCTTACAAACAGATACTATACCAGCATAAAAAGTTCTTCTGCGCCATTAAAAAGAAAAATAATTGGCCGGGGGGGGATCCATCCAGATTCTACCGTAACTCTAGCTAATTCCAGCATTGATGCTGCAAAACAATGAAAACATGTAAACTAACGTCTTTAAGGCAGTCCAAGTGGTTACGAGATACAATGTACTCACCAACGCATGAACCACAATCACCAGCTCCTGGTGAACCGAGAGGACTATCAAAATGGCCATTAATTAATACAGATGGGTCAGTTTCTTGCAAATCAGCTGATGATATCCTGTTATCAAGTAGAAGTTAGTCCAAATGTTGTTTTCCAAAAATCTAAGATAAAAATACACTCTTTATTATCTAAAAAGGCATACATTATACCCAATTATAATACTGCACATGCAAGATAAAAGCGCAAAGAATTTATATGACACAATCTACTATCATTGATCTCCTAATCCAATAAGGCACCATTTCCTCATTGGTCGTTTCCTATACATCACTTAGAGCTTCCCTCTAAAATGTAATGTAATACCTTTCTTAATATTTTTTCTAAGGTAAAAAAGAAATGGTTCAACATTTTCCCTTCACAGGATTCAGCTTCCTAGCTTTTGTTCGAGCAGTGAACAATAAAGTTTCATACGATACTTCAGAATGCTGTTAAAATTTCATGTGCTGAATAGCTTATATGTAACAAGTCAGAGGCCACAATTTCTTGACGAAGGTGCGAAGTCCATTCCTTTCAAACTGGAAGACACATCCTTTCTTAGAGGATGTATCTCACCTCCAAGTGAAATCTTTGATCATGCTTTCAGGGGAGTTCCATATAAAAATAGAGGTCCCAGTAAGCAAGGGAAAAAACACATCCCGTTCCCCGATGATTCTAGCACAAATCGAACGTCAGCACAAACTTGAAAAGGCAATACCATTTGAGCAAGGAGTAAAGAAATTACCTGGCAACAATATTTATATGGTCTCTATAAGCAAAAGATATGCTGTGGCCTAGAAATATCATATTGAAGGAACCATTAACAGTGGTCTCCTCAACCTCAATCCTGCAAATAAATAAAAATTAAAAAAAGTAATAAACCAAAATCATAACTAAAAATAAAAATTATCACTTAAACGGCCAGTCATACCACCAGCATTACTGAAGAGAGACTAACAACCTGATATTGGATTCAGCTCTCTCCTTCAGCATTTCTAACTGCTCTTTAATATACGTTGCGGCTTTTCTTAATCCAGGACGCCCTTCCTTTTAATTTATCAACATTAAAAGCCAATGAATAAATAAATAAGAAAATTGAAAACTCCGTAACAAAACAAGAGGGACATGCAAGCACAGAAATGAGGACGGGACTGACTTGACGATCGTCTTTGGTTAGAACTGCAATATGGTGGATGGCTCTGGCCTCGGAGAAGCGATCGAGAGGGGCGTCGATCGAGAGGGGCGTAATGAATTTCATGTGAAGTACGGAGTGAACAAGAAGCGATATGATAGTGTAGATAATGGCTAGAAAGAAGATGAATTTGAATCCAGATACGTCTCTTGAGCTCAGCCACGACGCCATTTCTGGGTGTCTCTGTTTTTTCCGTTTTTTCTTTTCAATTTCCAAGATTGGAACGGGAAATATTATATAGTATATTGGAGGGAGAGAAGAAGAAGAATGCGTTGAAATTTTCAGCTCAGAAGAGTGTGGGCGCCGAGTTTTGTATCGGTGTCTCAAGTGGCAGTCGATTTAAAGAACTCCCTCTCCTCTCCCTCCAGTTCACGCTTGGGTGGGTGGGCTACTTCTTCTTCTGAGCCGAAGCTAAGCTTGTCTAGTTTGTTTGGGCCTTAATAAGTAAATGGACTCGAAACGGAGGTATCTCGTGCCACCTTTCCTTAAAGCTTGATATGCAAATTGCGGGTTGCTTCCCTTTCGTTCACCTTAGAGCCAAAACCCAAATTACATGTTGCAAGCTTGCAACCACGCTCCCGGGGAGGGCAAAGGCTTTACAGTGAGGGCTGGACATTCGGAGTGTAAGTATGTGAGAATTTCTCGCACAAAGCTTCGTATGCATGTTGATTTTTTTCTAATAAATTAGTATATATTAATTACTATGGTGGCATGTCTCCATACGACATGGCAGACACTCCATAAGGTATAAGCTGATATGGTTTTAGCCTCGTCTCTTAGCCAGTATATAATAGTAATAATATCATAACGCCTCGTGCGAGGAGCTTGGATAGCACAATATGATTAACGTTCTAATGAATGCCATCGAAAATGATATATGTTTATCATTAAAAATGAGTCTTTCGACCAAAAAAGTGACATTTATGCTATATAAGTGCCTAAAGCCTTTACCTTTTAGCTGATATAAGTGCCAAAAAAATGATTTATAATGTCAACAATAATATGTGTAGGCTCGTCATGTAATAGTTTTTATTATTAAAAAAAAAACATATTTCAAGAAGAGAGGCAAGACTCTCATCTTTTAGCAAATACGAGATAATGACAACACTATAACCCTTTAGAGGAGGAACTTGAATAGCACAGCATGACTTTATTTAGCACAATATGATTAACGTTCTAATAGATGACAACGATAATGATGTGTATCTATGTCTATATAAAGTGAGCCCTAATAGATATTATCCTAGTTTACATAGATTCTATCACGTATTAGGTTCTATCATTGAAAATGAGTCTTTCGATGGAAGAGGAGACCTTTATGCTATATAAGTGTCTAGAGCCTTTACCTCTTGGCTCGTGTAAGATAATGACATCACCATAACTCCTATGACAAGATATGGGCAATGTATAATGGTTGACGTTTCCACATATAATGTCAATGATAATGTGTGGGTTCATCCATGTAATAGTTTTTATTATTGAAAAAACATCTTTCGAGGAGAGAACAAAACTCTCATCTTTTAGCAAATACGAGATAATGACAACACCATAACCCTTTAGAGGAGAAACTTGGATAGCGCAACATGACTTATTTCTCCACTGACGACACCAATAATAATGTGTACTCGTATTCACACATGACCGACCCCTCAAAAGGTATTTTACCATCCAACATGGATTTAAACATCTAACAAGTTTTGTTTTTAAAAATATATCTCTTAAAGAGAGATGAGATTTTTGTACTAAATAAATGACTAACTCTCTTGTCTCCCAATCAATGTAAAACAGTGACATCTTTATAACCCCCCAAATGAATGGCATAGGCAATACATCTTTGTTGGCATTTTCATACATGACATCAATGGTGATGTGTGTCCACACTTGTACATGATAAGCTCCTAAAAGATATTATCTTAGTTGATGAGAGTTTAGAAAAATAATAAGTTTTGTTATTTAAAATGACTTTACTATGAAAAGAGAGAAGACTCTTATGTTATATAAAGGACCAGAACTCATGCTTCATATCCAATTTTAAATTTATAGTTAAGATGAAATACTATTTTAATTATAATTTAATTACATTACAAAATAAAATTTAAAACAACATTAAGTGGGAAGTATTATGTATAAAAATTAGTGTATTTAGTATTGCGATACAAGATATTTTTTATATAATTCAAAATAAGTTGAAATTATTTTATTTTCATTCTTGACATCATCGTATTAAAATTATTCAAAAATATTAAACAAAAATTAAATCTAATATATTTTTAAATTAAAAAAATTTAAAAATATCTTTTTGAAAAAAGATATGTAACGACAAAATCAAAAACACTCAGGTAAACTTTGTTAAAGCTCCACTACTGTCCGGGGTAAAAAAATGCACTGAAGATCGAGTTTTTTACCTCGCAGTGAAAAGCGTTTCTTATCTCCTATATTACCCGTGACATGCATGTCTTTGTCTTTCTAATATAGCGAAACCAGGGGACAGCATCGAACGAAAATTCAAAAATTATCATTCTTATCTGATGGAATTCACCAATCAAAGCTCCAGACAAACCAGTTCGGAGGATGACTTTGTGAAATCTATCTCCAGCCCAAAGAGACAGGGGAAGGCAGCGGGATCCCCCAGCGCTATTTGTTTTTTTTTTAAAAAAACTACTGTGTACATCCAACCCCTCGTACTTTTTCAATTAATTCAATTTAATCCCCATGCCTCATAATTTATTAGAAAGAAGATCTTTTATTTCATTTTTTTTCAAAAATAAAAAACCCCTCTCCCTATGCGTTATTTCCAAACAGCAAGATACGCATTACTGAAAATTTCCTATTAGACCATTTAAATCAAATAAAAAAAAAATTAACTTAATTTATTGCTTTAATTATTTTATTCTCGATAAAATCAAATCAATAATACATAATATTTTATATACTAGCTAGTATTTTTAAATTGTAACTGGAAATATTTTTTAAAATACATTTTTTAAACCATAACTGTAGAAAGTTAACAATATTAAACACATACTAAATGACTAATGTTTTTTATTAATAATTAATATCCATAAAAAAAAATGAAGGAAGTTTCCAAGCTTGTGGCGGGTTACCTAACTACGGGCACAACTAAATACTAACACACCCTATAATATTATATACATTAGATAATATTTTAAAAACCACAATTAAAATTTTTGTAAACCTATTTTTTAAAATTATAATCATAAAAATTATAAAAATGCTTGTTTTTTTTTTTATATTATTAATAGTTAATATCCATGGAAAAAAGAAGGCTTCCGAGCTAGGAAGTGGCGAGTTGCATTGCTACTGTTATAGCCATGTGGGGAGTTAGGTAGCGTGGGTGACATCCATGATTCTCCGTGTTGGCTTGTTGCCATGCTTTCAAGTCTCAAAAAGTTCCTTCCTCTAAAAAGTTCTTTACAAAATGCCTTTTCTGCCCTCTCGGAACCCTTGCCACGTGGCAGTTCATAAAAAGTCTACGATTAGACGACCAAGCAATAAAGTGTGAGGTAGCAAACTCCAAAAACATAACGTAATTGTCCTTGTTTTTGTCGTCGGCCGAATTCCCATTTATCTGAGGCGCTGTTCAAGCTCGTGGAACGCACAGCTGCAGTTCACTTTTTACCTCGACAAGGAGGGTGTTGGCATAATTTTGTTAATCGAGTTAAGTTATTTTTTAAAATTTAAAATTCATAAAAAAATTTAAAATATATTTAGTTATGGATAACTTGTAATTTAATTTACTTATAAAAAAAATATTCTACATGAATTAATTTTATCATAATTTATTTATAAGAAAATAACCTTTGAATTATGATTCAAAATCAAAAGAATCTAAACTAACACTTAATATTCTAATTGATAAATTATATGAGAGAATTATTTTTAAAATATTTTTTATTTAAAAATATATTAAGATAATATTTTTTTATTTTAAAAAAATTATTTTTTATAACAACACATAAAAAATCCAAAAATATATATAAAAATTAATTTAAAATAAAAAAATAATTCAAAATATAGGAAATTATCGTTTGGAATCAGTTCCAAATGTCCCCTCATCAGGAACTCAGAATTTCCTGCTTTTAGCGCGGGGCTTCCACTCTCTCGAACGAGACTGGGCATGGCATTCCCAGATTGTATAGAGATAGCACTGATAAGTTTACTCGGGACGGTTCCGAAAACAGTCTGCCATGTGGAATCTGAAGACTGCTTTAGACTTTTTGTCACCATGACCACAGATGGCTGCCGAGTTGTAGGTTTGCCAAACTACAAACAAGCTAGAAAGTCCGTACTGCCCTTTCTTTGTTATCTCCAAATGATGCACCATCCCGATTTTTCTGCAATAATCCTCTTAGATTTCCTTCTCGGCTCGTGATAAGTTCTAAAAATGAAAGTACAGGAGCAACAAAAGAAGGGAGAAGGAGCAAGTGAGGTTATAGTCTAATGGTAGGAGGGGTTTGTTTCTTTTCTTTGTATCTGGGTTTGAATCTTATCATGATGCTTGTCACCCCCACAGTGACTTATTTGTTCACTGGGCTTGCAGGATGTTTAATGAGCTGTGGGGATTAGTCGTGGTGCGCGTAAGCTGGCCCGAACACCCCACATAAATTAAAAAAAAAAAAAAAAGAGAGAAGGATCTAAAACCATCAGGCATAGAAGGATTTCAAGGATCAAGGGTTCAATTATTTGGTCCTCTTCGAAGATCTGGCTGCTCGAAACAGCAGTAATTGAGATGCTCGTACTCTGTACTCCCTCGTGCATGGAACTGGATTGCCATTTTTTCGAATGATCCTTCGTAGTGTAATATCATTGGTGTAAAGTGTAAACCCTAAAGCAACTAAAAGATCCGCGAAAGCTCGTAGAGTGCGAAGTTTGTTTTTTTTTTTTTTCAGTCTCATGTTTTTTTAGTAATTAGTCAGTTATATTTATACTAATCAAGTTAATTGAATTACGGTAAATGACTCTTACTTTCTTCTGATGTTAAACCCAAGCCAGATGTAAAGTTGAGTCATGAGATTTATTTTTATTAATTTTTAATTTTAATTTTGTTCATAAATAGCTAAGTTGCATTTGGATTGATATAATTAATCCAGTCATGTTAAATCAAGTTATATATGATTTAATTTTAATTTTAAATTAAATAAAAAATCTTTAAGAGTTGATCAACTAATCAATTAACGGGTTTAGTGATAACATTAATAATTATCAGTGCTCTAAGTATATTCTTTTTACATTTGTTTTTTTATTCAAATCACAGCCCGTACATGACATTGTAAACTAATAATCATTT